ACTGCTTAAAATAGCCAGCGAAGATGGCATGAGAAGAGTAATGTCACTAGAATCGGAATTATCACAGCAATACGTCGCGTCACCTCGAAAAGTTGCACGCTCCGGCGTATGAGACGATAAACTGACAAGGTCGGTTCTTATGACTCTGTGGACTTGACAAGAAGTATACATGTTTCACGAACCTTGTTCCTCCTTTCCTCGAATGGTAATTCGGCAAAATGCTGTATCCTTCAAAACAGTAACTGGTTTGACCCATGGGCGAGACTTTCGTTCCTTGCTCGCCAAATGTCGTTACGATTGGTTTATGGCACATTAAAAACGGTATATCGACGATGCATGTGCGTGCTTCTGGCTTGTCTTTTCCATGAAACAGATACAGCCTGGCACGATGCCACCTCAAACATGCACCATCGCGGTGAATGAACAAGCCGCCTGTGTTGTCTTTCTCGTTTTCTCTTATGACTGTCACGTGCGACTGGGGCTGGGCCAATGTATAAATACCTCCTTCCGGCTGCCGACTCCCTATTTCTTCATTACACATGTTTTTCCCTGCTTTACCAAAAATCAAAACCTGGAGAGTCATGGTTCCGCCTTCTCTGGCTCTGGCAGCTTTCTCAAAATCACCACGGGTACGATGCATGGACTTGCTGCGCTATCAAAGACTTCCACTATTGCTGTCATGATCAAATTGACACGAACAATAGTCATGCCGCTTCGCTGCGAGGTGCCGGCAGACGGTGTATAAAGTCTTCTACTCGGACTGCACCTCACTTCTTCAGTCACACACACTTCTTTCCATGATTCTCTAAAACCTGCAGCACGTCCCCCTATGGTCGGAGAATCTGTCGTCCTTCCAAAAATACTCAAATAAGTACCGAGATGTTCCATGGCTGTGTCCTTGTTCTGGGCAGGATATGAAAGCGGACAGTACCTCTTCCATGCTGTCTAGGCTTAGAAGCTTCAAAACCACGCCGTATGACCTGACTATCCCTCAAAGCCGTTGTTTCGACGCGAGCTGGGGAGGAAATGAGATCGCAATCGTCGATTCTAAACTACCAGACTATCCGCACATGTTGGAGTTTCGACGCATCCGGCTTTAGGCAAACACTTCGTCTAAGATGGACGCTACTCAAAAGCATCATGCAATTCGAGTATGAAACGTTGTATCCTGATGGTCACGGCTTTCATGACGCTGCGGGAAAGCGGGGCTGTTAGCGTCGAAGCACTATGTATATAAACCCCGCGGTGAGGCTGACCTTCTTCTTCATCACATTTCTACCTATATCTCATCAAAACACACTACCAACAACCCGATGCTGTCTAATCTCTGTGGGAGCTCCGAAATACCAAATTACCAGTCGGTCCCTACATGTTTCGAGCATCTCCGCGCGACTTAAAGATACAAGCTTTGCATTCGTCATGCATTCCACCGATACTAAAACTGCATACAGGACTACAATACAGCAGACCGACGAGAGGACTTCACTCCCCTGAACCCCAAAAAGTTTATCCGAAACCGAGTATGGGCCCATCGGCTTTGCCGCTTCTGCTATAAGAGATCTGCTTCTTCCTCCTCTTCTAAAGCATTAGCAACACGCAAACCCTCAAACTCGTTCGAAGAGTTTGGATGTGTTGGAAGCTTTCGAAATTGTGCATTTCCCAAAAGGAAGAAACAGACGGGCATGTTCTGGAAAATAAAAGTCATCACGGGCAATATCAAATGGACTGATCTTCTCTGGAGCAGCAAGATTGATGGAAGCGAAGCTATGTCGAAAGTCTACCCCAACTTCTACATGAACGAGCTCCTGGTTTTGCTGTCTCTATTGGATATGCATAAAAAATTAGCAATCAACATCACGCTCATTAATGCGGTGGATCGGCTATCACGAAGTCGCTGTGCACATGCTTATGCAAATCCCTTCGACACGTTCGAACAAATGGGAACTTTACGCACGAGCCCTGAACGAGGTAGCGTCGGTATTGAAGATGTATAAAAGCTACTGGTTCTGCTCTTCTTCCTCAACCATTCAATCCGCTCATTTCCAAAATCAAAAGTCATTCAGATCAATCTCCATGTCTGGCTTCTGCGAGAGCGAGCACCAAACCCTGATCGAAGATCTCACATGTCTTCGTCTCCCACTCTTCTTCCACTCACCTCCTCGCCATAAATGACGACAAAACAGCGAGGTACGATATTATGCTGTCTGAGTCTCGCCGAGGCCACACAGAAAACGCGAAAGAACCATACGATGTCCAACGTTCCCCAAGATTCACTTACATGACTTTGTTCTCGGGTCTCCTCGGCTAGACCGAAAACCACAACATGACCGCCTCATGTCCTCCTGGGCTTCCAGTCCGCAGTCTATCTATCGGAACTGAGCAATGTCATCTCCATGTTGCTCGACTTCAAAAGAATGACAGAAGCGTAGTATGCTGCTTCTCTCGTAGATCTTCTAGATTTCTAGCTCAACAAAGACTTCATACGTCCTTAGCATGAGCGTGCTGCTCTTCTTCCGACTCAAACACGCAACGGCAACAGTCCTGAATAAACCACAACTACATCCATGATCACTGTCCAGTCTTCAATGCGATATGATTTCCACCAGCCTTGATAAAAACTTAAAACCGGCGTCTTTATGGTGATGTCTTCGTCAGAGTCATCGTTTCGGGCATGACGTATTACTCAAGTACCACCGACCGCCAAGATGTCACTAGTCCCGAGGGTATAAAATGCAGTGGAAGCTGCGAGCGTTCTCTCTCCTCAAAGTATACTTCATCTTACCAAAACTGCCGGAGCTAAGGTCTATGTCGTCCGGTCCAAAAACGTTCGCTTCTACAAAGCGATGTCTGCTCCTGCGATCACCCCCCAAAAAAGACCCACATGTTTGCGGACTGTGTTCGAAAGCTTTGGACAGCTAGACGCATGGTCTGTTCCGGCTGAATGCCAATCTTGCATGCCAGAAAGCAGGCTTTGGCTCGAGACGTAGAAGTAGTGGAACTTGCGAGCTTTTTCTCCACTAGAATCCTACTCCAATTGATCAAAATAGGCATCCTAACCTCTCATGTCGTTCGGTTCAAAAAGCACGACTGCAGAGGACATGTCTGGTCGTCTCTTCTACTGGAAAGCACAATGCTACTCATCGATGTGTCTGAAAGAGGAAACGGACAAGGAAATGTCTCTTTCCAAACAGTTCTCCTCTTTTCTATTTCATACAACAGCGTCAAAACGAGGTTATAAACCGCGGTAGAACCTGCGAGCTTCTTCTCCCCTAACGCCTCCTCTTTTTTACGAAAATTAGGACGACTATGGCGCCATGTCGTTCGATTCAAAGCGTAAGCACAGGCGTCCATGGCTGCTCCTTCGTTCAACTTCCAAAACAATAGCTGCCTTCATGTATAGGCCGCATGCATCCAAAATTGGCGTCTTATTCGGTCATGTGCTTTTCGGACAGTCTTCTTCTCCTACATACGGAGGCAAAGTGTCAGACTAGGGATATAGAACGACGTGCAAGCTGCGAGCTTCCTCTCTTCTCAAACATTCCTCCAATATACCAAAATGGATTCGTATTAGGCGCATGTCGTTCGACCCAAAAGTTGCAACAGACGACGCTATGCTTGCTCCTCCCCTCGACTTCTAAAACAACAACGGTTCCCCTACATGTCGGAGGTGCCCAAAGACCATCAAAGAAATCGCTCATGTACGTTTCAGGTGGTTCTTCTCACTCTTACACCAAAAGCACGCTTTCGCAGTCAAAAGCTGGAGTCACGAGTTTGATGGCTCGGTTTGCTGGAGCGCATCTACGTCATCAAACCTCCAGTCGCCATACCCTATGGTCCTGAGACGATGCAAAATCGTGTCAAGCGATGCTGTGAGAGAGATCGGAGAAAGAGAGGAATTAAAAGAGAATCAGAGGATAATCATGTTGGAAAGACGGAGTTCCTGGAAACATCAAACAAGTATCTTCAACCACGCATGAGAGAGCAGTGCTCGCGCTGCATAAACAAACCGAAACAAAAGAGATGCTCCTGGCGAAGCATTGGGACGTGTATGAATACTACTCTTGGGTCGGCCTCTTTCTTCTTTACAACACCTCCAATGCTGGATTCTGAAAGAGAAGATGGCAATTCTCATGAGTTTGTCCGTCTTTCTGGGTGTTTTCCAAAGTTTCACGACAAGTAGATAATGGGGTGCGCTGCTCACGCTGTCTAAATTTAAAGATGTGACCGTTATGTTCTCGGCGCAGAGCAAGGACGTGTATAAATACCGCTCTCGGGTCTGCCTTTCTCTTCTACACAACAACTCCACCTCTGGAGTCCAAAAATGTCATATAGACATGGCATGAGTTTGTCCGTCTTTCCGGGGTTATCTGCAAAACTATAGCTCCGACAGCCCATGGAGTGCGCTGTACCCGCTGTTGAAACTCTACGACAAATCGGCGATGTTCTAGGCGCAGGACTGGGCCGTGTACAAATACTCCTCGGATTTCTGTCTTTCTCGACTCTACAACACTTCCGATTCCGGAGTCCAAAAACAAGGAAGCGTAAGACCCATGGCTGCGGCACTGCTCTCCTTTCCCTGTTTATTATCCAAAACTATGGATCAACAACTTCATGGAGTGCGCTGCTCGCGTTCGCTAAAATCAACGGAGGGTCATATATGCTCTTAGCGCAGGACTGGGTCTCTTATAAATACCCCTTCGGATTCTTGTTCAATTCTTCTTTCCAACACCTCCAATCTTGGAGTCCAGAAACGGGCATCGGAAAAACGTATGACTTCGGCTCTGCTCTTGCTGCCTGTGTTGCACCAAAAGCCAGCATGTACACGATCATGGAGTGCGCTGCCCGTGCGAGAGAGGGCTCATCTTGATTCAACTTCTTGATACTATGGTGATGATCATCATCACCGAACCTGTGGTGCTCCAACCTCATATCTTCAAAGCTTCCCTACTATCGTACACATGCAATCCAACCTCCCACCCTCCTCCACCTCATCTCACCCCTCACTTCGTCTTCGGCTTAACCTGAAAAAAACTACTCATCTTCTTCATCCCACTTGTATCCACCTTCTTCAGCGCCTTAACCCCCCTCCCCTCACTCTTCTTCTTCCTCTCTTCATCTTCCTTCTTCCGCTTCTTCTCTTCCCTTTCCGCAATCTTCTCTTCGTCTTCTTCAATCGCCCGTTTACGACTGATGTTGTCTGATATGCTGCGTAGGGACAGCGCTTCAGATTTGAGGGTCGCGATGGCGGAGAGATGGGTGTCGAGGGGTGTGAAGCGTGGGGCTAGGAGGGCGAGTAAGGGGGTACGGAGGGAGGGGGGAACGTAGGAGGAGAGGAGGTAGGTTAGGGATGTGCGGAGGCGGAGGAGGTGGGGGATTTCGGTGGGGGTTGTGAGGGTGGGTTTTGAGGGGGCGTCGTCGGGGGGTGTTATTGTTGTTGTGACGTTCGTTTGCGAGTCAACTTTTGTGCTGTTCTCCTTCTCTGCGTCTCCGTCGGGCGTTGTTGTGGTGGTTAGTGTGCTTTCCTCGCGCTTTATGCTCATGATGGGTATCTCCAGGGCTGTCTTGATGAATCTCTCCTCCATTGACGGTGGAAGCCCCTTTTTCACCATGCGCTCGGCCTTTGTGACAAGGACCTCGAGGAGCTTGGGTTGGGAGAGGCGGTACATGGACTCTTCGCCTGCGTCGACTGTGTCGCATATCTTCCGCATCTTGGTTTCTATCATAGCCTTGAGGGTGGGGCATTGTGATAACAACGCTTTCCAGTGTGGCGACGAGGATGAGAGTGTGTCGAGGTAGTCATCGAAGGCGAGGAAGTGTTGTTTCGTCTCTTTTGCTGACTTCGGTGTGAGGGCGGGAAGGATGAGGAAGAGGACGTCAATGGGTGTTGCGATGAAGAGGTCGGCGGATTTGGTGATGTAGCCGCTGCCTATCCGTGAGGCGTCTGCTTCCTCTGTGGTGTCATCCTCGCTCTTCTCTCCTGTTATCAACCAACTCTTGAAGTCTTTCTTCGGCGCAGCGATGCGCGTGAACTCGTAGAAGCCTTTCTGCGGGCAGAAGTAGTATCTTGAGTGTGTATCATTTGCGGGGTTGTCGAGGCTGACTATGCGCGCGTCTTTGGACGTATCTTTCGGTAATACGAACAACTTTGGGGGGTTCGATGTGCTTGCGGGCAGCGGTTTGGCTGTGGTGGTGGGTTCAGGCGTGGATTCTTTGGGCGTGGCCTTTGCGGGTTTCGAACGTGTGCGCGCCATTGTGAGGTGTCTGCTGGTCCAATTGGGCATATACAGTCTTGTAGGTGGTGTATCGAAATCGTGGTGGAATCGGGGTTCAGGCGCGTCGCGTGGGCGCAACCTTACACGCGCAATCCCTGTCACGTCACGGTTTCGGATTAGATTAGTCTGGGGTGAACCACAGTCCAGTGTCAAACATGACTGTGGTGTACTTTGGTTGTTGAGTTGAGATTTTTCTGAATTCCCATGGTTGAGAAACACTGAAGCCAAGGCTTACTCGGACACGTGATCCAGTGTCAACAAACGCTACGGGGCCGGGCTATGCGCTTGTGAGTCCTGCCTGACGATCGACTGTTTCCCATCTTGCTTTTCCCGCTTTCCAGTATTGGCGTTGCTATGGGCCACTGCGAGATAGCGCATCCGATATTGCACCATCACAACAATGATCGTGCGGGAGAGCCCCAAGTCAAAAGGTAAGTCGCCCATGGGAGTGTGCCGGGCATGCGCTGACTCTAGTGACAGTCAAGAACAACCAGCCCAACTGGCCCCCGCAGTCGCCCGTCGAAGCCCTTCTCAGCTCGCCATCCGGCCGTAAGAGGTACGAGAGCCGCCGCCAGCGCGACTCAGCATCGCCATCCCCCTCGAAACGCCGTCCAATGTCGCGCGGAGGTGTGCCAGCCGGCAGCGATGGAGAGGAGGACGAGGAGACGCTCCAGCTGCAACTCCAGGCCATCGAGGCCAAGCTGAAGCTGAAGGCGCTGCAGAAGAAGAAGAACGAGTCCCAGGATCTGGATCGCAATGGAGCGTCATCACGAGCGAGCATGGCCACCAGCATGCGCAGAATCGACCTGCCGCGGCCCGAGACCAGGCAAGAGACGGATGTCGAGGTACCGCGATCACCAGTCCGGATGCGACAGGCGCCAACCGAGCCGAAGAGTCCTGCGCGCGTCATGTTGGGTATAGACAAGGGACTCACAGCCCGCGATGTTAGTCTCAAGCGGCCGGGAAGTGCTGTCAGCGGGCGCATGTCGCGGCTGGGCTCCTCAAAGGATGTCGAGCCGCCCAAGATCAAGTCCTTCAGCGAGCGCATCGCAGAGAGCAGGAACAAGGAGAAGGAGCGTGAAGAGAAGGAGGACAAGGCCGAGCAGAGACGGAGTAGGGGGTTTGGGCTGCAGAACATCGAAGCGCTAAAAGACCGGCCGTCGCTATCACGAACCAGCTCTTCTCAGAGTACCGACACCAAGACCTCGCGCGACATGCCTCCGCCGGCCCTGAGGAATCACAGCCGAACGCAAAGTTTACAGAACCGCACATTTGGGGGTCCACCCACTCCAAGACCAGGCTCCACATTGTCCTTCGGGCCTGAGAGTTCCCGCCCAACCTCGTCCTCTTCCAAGGCCACGTCTAGCAGCTTTGGCTCAACACCGACCGCTACAAAATACGCCGAGATCTCGTCGCGCGACGAAAGCGCCGATGCTCCTAGTTTCGAATCGTTCTCTGGTCTCCACCTCAAGTCAAGAGAAATGCAACACAACGTCGTCACCCGCACCCTGGAAGGCAAGACAGTCCTTACTATACCACAAATCTTGAAGACCGTCAAGGCGCCAGAATACGATCCGCCAGATTGGGAGAACGACTATGTTGTTCTTGGGGTTATCTGCTCCAAGTCGACGCCACAAAACTCCAAGAATGCTGCGAAGGACCAGACCAAGGGCAACCAGGACAAGAACTTGGACCAGAACGGCAAGTTCATGGTTATTCGCCTCACGGACCTCAAATGGGAGCTCGATCTCTTCCTGTTCGATACTGGCTTCTCGCAGTTCTGGAAACTCCCTCTCGGCACGCTTGTCGCTATTCTCAACCCAGATATCATGCCGCCACGGAATCGTGATACCGGCAAGTTCTCATTGAAGTTGTCAAGCTCAGACGACACCATCCTTGAACTTGGCACAGCGCGAGATCTAGATTTCTGCCATGCACAACGGAAAGACGGCAAGGAGTGTGGTCAGTGGATCGATGGTCGCAAAACTGAGTTCTGCGAGTTCCACATTCAACTTCAGGTTGACAAGGCTAAGAAGGGCCGCATGCAAGTCAACACCATGACCGGATTTGGTGGAGGACCAGGCGGCGGCATGTTTGGTCGACGCGGTGGCCCTAAAGGTGATGAACTCAAGAGGGAAGGCAAGTATCACGACCGCGAACTCCACGAGACCGTCTACATCGCACCCCGTCCCGGCGGCGCAGCCAAGCTCATCGACCGCGACCACCAAAACTGGGAAGGCGGAGCAGGCCGAGAAGACCGCTTCCGCAAGCAACTCGCCGAAAAGGAGAAGGAGAGAGAGCTAGCAAAGAAGCTCGGCACGATGGGAGATGGCAGTACCGGCGGTGACTACATGAAGCTGAAGGGCGCTGGAACACAGAACCTTCCTGCAAGAGGCTACACATCGTCGCAAGGTTCCTCAGGCGCAAAGCCCGACAAGCCAGCCGACGTGGACTTTACCAGTCTACTCAACCGTACGTCAGCCGATGTTTCTTTGGCGCCTGTTAAACGTAAACGAACAGCATCGGCGAAATCATCCAACTCGAGCGACCCCGTCGGCTGGGGCTTCAAGTACGGCCGTATCCCATCACCGAAGAAGGACACTTCATTCCCTTCTGCATTCCGCGGTACCCGCGAAGCCAGTCCAGCAAAGAAGAAGGCGCGTCTCTTGCTAGCCGGAAAAGGCATCCGCGAACCAGGCCGCGAGAGTCTGGGCGGTCTCGACGCTGGCCTTATTGCTGCCATGGACGACGACGACGATGATTTGGAAGTTGTTTAATTCTTTTTGGAAAACACTAGGGGAGGCATACACAAAAACACATGAGGGGGAGGGCGTTTGGGTCACAACAGCTCGCTGATTGGCTAGAGCTAAGCGAGCAACGGGGTGCATTTCGACTTTTCTGGGCTGATGGATACCGAAGGCTTTAGCGTGGAGCGAAGCCGCATTAACGACTTTCCTTTTGTTTTTATCTTGTACAATATTATACCCGCTTTGTTACGCTGAATTGTATACTGCGTTTACTTTACTAAGATTCTGAACCTTGTCATCTTGGGAGGAGCGTGAGGATTTCCTACCTAGGTAACTATACCAACGACGCACGTGCGACCACATCTTCGAGGGAAAGAGCAGGACCACAACTTCCGAACCCAAACCATACCAACATGGCGACCTCTCAAGTCAACCCCTCGGAGAAGATCTACGCCCTCATCAACTACGAAGATCCCTACGTCCAACCCCTCATCATCGCCGCACTTGAGAAGCGCTTGCCAGAATCATCTTATGAGTTGATAACATCTCTATCCCAACTCCCCTCCCCCTCCTCCCGCCTCCTGCAATGGGTGCAATACGAATCCATCGACTTCGACCACCTCATGGAAAACTCCTCCACCAGCCTCTCTAACGCCTACATAATCCGCAAAGCCCTAATCCGGAAACACTACCTCAGCACCACCATCTCAAACTGGATCACCAAGTACCCGGATAGCGTACTCAAGAAACACGTGAAACCAAGTGTGGAATTCGAAGTCGACTACGCCGAGTTTCTAGACGACGCGTTGGTTGAAGCGTGGGAGTTGAAGGAGAGTTGGGCGACGAATGAGGGGTTAGGGGATGGGGAGGCTAAGAAGAGGGAGTGGTGGATTTTGAAACCGGGGATGAGTGAGAGGGGGCAGGGGATTAGGTTGTTTAGCAGTGAGGAGGAGTTGACGGCGATTTTTGAGGAGTGGGATCCTGAGAGTGATGAGGAGGAAGAAGAGAAGGAGGAGGATGCGAGAAGTGATGCCGGCGATGGTGTTAGTAGTAAGGAAGCGGTCAAGGGAGAAGAGAAGGAAAAAGAGGAGGGAAACGGCATCATAACATCCCAACTCCGCCACTTCATCGCACAACCTTACATCCACCCCCCGTTACTCCTCACTCCTCCCAACGCCTCCTCTTCAGAACTGCGCAAATTCCACATCCGGACCTACGTTCTCGCCACCTCCGCCCTCCAAGTCTACGTCTACCGCCCCATGCTCGCCCTCTTCGCCGCGCGGCCGTACGTCCCGCCTTGGGACGACGTGTTGCAGGAAGACCGCGACGAAGCAATGCGCGCGCATCTGACGAATACCTGTCTGCAAGAGTCAGAAGATAGGGAGGGCAGTGTGGGGTTGTTCTGGTCTCTCCCCGACTCTTTACCTGCACAGCCTGATCTCGGGTCCGTGAAACTGGATGCACGGCCAGATTGGAAGGACAAAGTGTTCGAGCAGATCAAGGAGACGACAGGTGCGACATTCGAAGCCGCAGCGAGAGGCATGTCAATCCATTTCCAGCCTCTACCTAACAGCTTTGAGATTTTTGGGCTGGATTTCATGGTGGGGATTGAGGAGGATGGCGGACTGAACACATATCTGCTAGAGGTGAATGCGTTTCCGGATTTCAGGCAAACGGGTAGCGAGTTGAGTGGGATGATTGAGGGGCTTTTCGAGGGTGTGGTTAATAAGGGGGTTATGCCTTTCTTCGGGGTAAAGGGAGAGGGAGGGGATGGGGATGACGGGATGGTCAAGGTTTTGGATATTGATCTGGGACGGCGGTGAGAAGGGTGACTTGTGGAGAGGAGATGGGACAGCATAGTATGGTCACAGCGAATAAGTTTGGTCAGAGTTATCACTCATATTTTCCTTGGTCTATACTACGTTCCCATATCCTCCCATTACCATCGATTCAACCGCCAATCACCGTACACCAGCTCGGTGTCCGATCATCGAGACGCCCAGACACCAAGCAACCGTACACCGTGATTCCGCAGTCGAGCCTATTCCCTACTTACTAACTAAGTTACTCTGGCCAACGCACATATGCGTGCTGTCCAGTAAATGTCCCAGAGAAAACACCGATTACAATGCCTTCTCGGCAAAGAAAGGTGTCCACTACCCTTCAGTACCAAACAAACATTAAAGGCCGTCAGTAATGCGAACCTTTTCGTAATGTAATCGTGGGTATCCTGATCCTGTTCCTCGACTTGGATAGGCCGAAGAACACAAAAAGCAAACGCTCGCTATGCAAACAATCAGTCACAAAGGACCTGATGCAAAAGAGGAGTTGGGAACGCTTTGTGATAGCATCTCAACACAAGCTACGATGAAGACTTGTTCAAGACGAACGGGCTGGGAAGGCCGTTAGATGTTGTCAATTGACATGGATGAGGTGGAGTGCTCACTGCGAGCCCGCTTGTCTGCTGCCTCGCGCTCGAGCGGCTCACCGCTGCGCTTCTTGGATGTCTTGGTGGAGCTGCTGGAGCTGTGCGCTGACTTGACACGCGACCATGAATCAAACGAGATCTCTGTTACTGTATAAGCGGGGGTTTCACTGGCGAAGATTGAAGAGACTTACCCTTCTTGAGCTTGCGGGTCGTAGGCGGCGGCGATGTGAGCAGCGATGGTGTTGGGACGGCGTTCTTGCCCTTCTTGCGGCTCGGGGTCGCGACGGACGCATCGATGTCGGTGGTCGCCTCCTCGTCGTCGGTCTCAACACCGTTTGCGCGGTTGCGCTCTTTGATCTCTGCTTGGAATAGAAGACGGGGTTTGATAGACGAACGAGTGAGCGGACGACGGGCCTCATAACCAATCTGGCGGCGGACTTGCTTGTCATCGGCGGAGAGGTCGTCGTCTTCCTCTGCCGCTGAGGCGCCGGAGGGTGCGTCGTCGTGGAACTTGCGGAAGACCTTGCGACCTCGGAAGATGTATACCATGCCTTCGTCACGGTCGACAGCCGCCTCCATCTTGGCAGTCTTTCGGTCGACGACCTTCCTTGACTTTTGGGGAGCAGCTTTTGCCTTGCCCTTGCCCTTGACGGTGATGAATGGGTTATCTTCAGTCTGAGCACCAGGAGTGGGTACGCGCTCCTTGGAGTCAGTGTAGATGGGGATCTTTTCAGTGTTCTCGTCCATCTGCTGGGCGAAGCTCTCTAGAGTGTAGAGGTTCTTAGTCTTGCGGCCCTTGCGCGGGGTCGGCATGGCTTCGTCGATGGTTGAAGGTCGGTTGGCGGGGAACAACACGCGCGCGGTCGAGCTGACGTCTTCGATGCGACGCTTGCGCGGCGTCTTTGCGGGAGTTGGGAGCATGCCCTGTGGAGAAGTTAGCATGTTGGGTTGTAGTAGGTGTGGAGGCCGTCTGGCACTCGACGCGGTTGTTTGTCAACCGCACCGGGCCCAGGCGGTCACCTCAGGTAACATACAGGAGCCATGTTCGCAAACAAGGTGCGCCGGGACGAGCTTGGTGCAGCAGTGTCGGAGTCAGAGTCGAGCGGGTTGAGGTCCAAGGGCGCGCGACGGGTCGAGCGTGGAGAGCGGAGGTGTTGGTGTTGTGGGGATGCAGGCGACGATGGGGGTGAGAGTGCAAAGGAAGCGTTTGCGCGGGCAGCAGAACGCTTGGCGTGAGAAGAGGCCGTTGGCGTGATGTCGCGCCTGGTCCGTGGGCTTGACCGCTCCTGTTGGTGAGTGTGAGCGTCGTGCTGGGCGGCCACTCTGCGCGATCGGCGCGGTGAAAACGGCTCGTAGTTGTCTCCATACAGCGGCGCGGGCGGCGTGTGGACGCGGCGGGGCGGGGACGGCGTGCGCTCCATGTTGGGTGGGATGATGTGGGTGTTTGTTTGGGATAGGGCAGTTGTGGTGTTGTTGTAGCAATACAGGGCGAATTGTGGGTATCCAAAATCAAAACAATGCCACAGCAAGCTCGATGTCGCAGCGCCTCAACGTTGGGATGACAATGGGTGCAGTATCGATATGCGCGCAAGTGGAGATGGCGGTAGGGCTGGTGATGGTGAAGGTGAAGGACAAAGCCGGGTGGAGACAATGGGCTATGTCACGACGGGGAATGAAGGAAGTCGCGAGGTTGGGACGGCAGGTGCAGATGGCTGGTGCTCCTTCCTTGGCGCAACGCGGAACATCAACAAACCCCTGCTAACCGCTGGCCCCGCCAAACCAAATACGTCAAACACGCCAACGCTGTCAGTCGTTGAAACTCACCAAATCAATTCGTCTAGAAGAGTCCGACACAATACACAGCACGTCAACACAGCATGGACCCGCCGAACCTGGGCGCGCTTGACCTCTCCGACTCGGACACGGACGCGTTGTTTGACACGCCTGCGGCACGCAAGACCAAGAAGCAGACAAAAGATGCGGACAATGATGCAGCAAAGACACGGTCAAAGGAGTCGCATTACACGACAGAAGAGGCGCGCGAAGCATCATTGCGCAGGGAATTGGAGAGCATACGAAACGTCAACAAGGTCATCGAGGGCGTGGTAGAAAGCCTGCAAAAGGCCAAGGACAACATGGCTGTAAGGGACAATAGTAGAACTGCCGCAGTCTCTAGACTGACGATGAATAGACTGTATCGCGCACCGTCCAGAACGCGTCTACCTTGCTCCAAACATGGACGCGCATACTTTCCCAAACAGAACATAATCAGCGTCTAATCTTGAACCCGCAATGGCAGGGTGCGTCACAAGATTTGGTTGACATCGAGGAGGAAGAGGTACACCGCCAGCAGGCTGCACAACGTCGGGCGGCAGACGAGCAGGCGCGGAGAGAAGCTGCGGCTAGGAAGATCGAAGAGGATCGCAGAAAGGCTGAGGCGGCTCCCAGGGCAGGTACTCGAGGCAGAGGCAGAGGTGTCCGGCCACGCGGTGCTCCGACATCCTCCACAGGGAACTATACCGGCGTAGGCGGACAGACCGGACGTGGTGTCAGTCGCAGCGACTCGCGAGGTCGAGCAGGCAGCGGCATTGGACGAGGGCTCCCACGGGGACGAGGTAGGGGCCTGGGCTGATGGAATTGCACACACGCCTTCGCCTCACCCCGAACGCATATATGAAATACCCATTCGACATTTACACCTGGATCGTGTGCTTTGCAGTATGGTGGCATCGAATGCTGAGGTCAGCATAATTTATCGTGCAATTTCGGGCCGCCTCACTGAGCCGAACTCATCTTACCATCGCCAGGCATCCGTACTTATCTTACCACGGCACTTTCACCCCGAGCAACCGCGACACGAGACCTCAAATCCGTACCTGCAGCTCGATGCAGCTCACGGGCCGTTGGTGATGCGGATGCGCTGCTCAAAACGGGAAGGTCTGAGAACCCCACTTGTCGTCAGTTGGACCCCGCCGTACATTTACTTGAGATCTTGCGACGATCCGGGGATTAAATAGATTCTGCTTTTCCTACCCTTCGACCTGCTTTCTATTTCTCCTTCTCTTGCTTTTTGCGATTCTGAATTTCTAGATCGCGCAATGGAGGTCCCGACAGCAACGTCGCTACGCGACATCTACCCCGAAGACGCGCTCCCAGTCGAGACAAAGCGATGGGAGAGCCTACTCGCCAAGTTCAATGAGCTCTATGGCAAGCAAGCAGACTTTGTTGCCAGGAGTCCTGGGCGCGTCAATATCATTGGCGAGGTAAATTACCTGCAAGAAGTCTATTACCTGTCGCTAATGATGGTAGCACATCGACTACTCCCTGTACGAGGTTCTGCCCATGGCCATTACCGCCGACTTCATCATGGCCGTGGCTGTGCGACCATCTGAAGAGAAGCCGCGCGTACGGATAGCAAACCTCAACTCCGAGAAATTCCCCACCCGCGAATTCGACATTCCCGAGGGAGAGATCCCAATCGATGCCACCGAGCATGAGTGGACAAATTACTTCAAGTCTGGAATGAAGGGTGTATCGCAACTACTACAAAAGAAGCGGGGCAAGTTCACATCCGTGGGCATGGATATTGTATGCGATGGCACAGTACCCAGTGGTGGCGGTCTCTCGAGTTCAGCGTCCGTCGTCTGCACAAGCTCTTTGGCTGTGCTGGCTGCAAATGGTGAGGAGAAGATTGACAAAACCGAACTGTGCGAGCTTGCTATTGTATCTGAGCGCGCAGTCGGTGTTAACTCTGGAGGGTGAGTCTAGCCTAACTTTTGCATTACCACAGCTAACAAGTCGTAGTATGGACCAAGCAGCCTCCGTCTTCTCACTCCGCGGCTCGGCCCTATACGTATCCTTCAAGCCCAGCCTAAACTACACAAACATCGAGTTTCCCAAGACCGACCCCGAGCTCGTCTTCGTCACCGCCCAGAGTTTCGTCGCCGCCGACAAGCACGTCACAGCGCCCGTATGCTACAATCTGCGCGTCGTAGAATGCACACTAGCAGCCGTCTTCCTAGCCAAAGCATTCGGTCTAAAGAAAGAGCTCCCAACAGACTCCTCTCCTCTCGGTGTCAGCCTCCGCGGCTTCCACGACACTTACTTCGAAGACAAAGAGAACGTCTCCGACAACACCAAGATATCCGTGTCAGACTTCGAAACGCAACTCACGAAGCTGATCCAACACACCGAAGACTACCTCCCACAGGAAGAAGGCTACACGCGCGCGCAAATCAGCGGCCTCCTGGGTATCTCAGAGGAGGAACTGAACGAACGCTACATGTCCAAGTTCCCCGTACGCGCCGAGAAATTCAAGCTCCGCCAGCGCGCCCTACACGTCTTCACAGAAGCCCTCCGCGTGATTAAATTCCGATCGCTCCTCGCATCTCCCCCATCAAACGACCGCGCATACCTCCAGTCCCTCGGCGACCTCATGAACACGACCCAAGACTCATGCCGCGAAATCTACGACTGCAGTTGTCCTGAGCTTGACGAGCTTTGCGATTTGGCACGTGCCGCTGGGAGTTGTGGCAGCAGGCTCACGGGTGCTGGCTGGGGTGGATGCAGTGTGCATTTAATGCCGAAAGACAAGGTTGATGCGGTTAAGAAGGCGTGGGTGGAAAAGTACTATAAGAAGAGGTTTCCGGATATCAGCGAGGAGAAGTTGAAGGGGGCGATTGTTGTTAGTGAACCCGGGAGTGGGTCTGTGTTGTATAAGGTCAAGAATGGGAAACTTGCGTAGATCGGGATGTATGGATGAAAGTGTGTGGTCTGCATGCGCTCATGGAGGTTCGGCGCGGCGACGTTGGACCAGGGCAGGCCGTTTGGTAGGTCATAGTCACGGCTTTGAATATGTGACAATGCCATTGGTTTGTCATGCACCACTCCATCATTACAATCCTATGGATGTGAAATATATCACGCAGTCAATTTGATGATGCTTTTTTGTCAAAGTTTGGGTTATGTCACATCCGCAACTTTGGTTCTCTTCACACGTTACCAAGGTTGGCACACCGCGAGACCATGTTCGTCAACGTCAATGGTGTGATAAAATTTCGACACACACGACTATATCTCTACACTGTACCCCCTTGATACTCTACTTGCTGAAGACATTGCACCCGTTCATACAGCACGACGCCCATCTTCACACCTGTATTCTCCCCACCCACATACTATCACGACAGATCTACATCCATACATCAGGAGCGAAGATGACAAAGCGCAGCCCCAATCGCCGCAGAAAACCTTCCCGCAAGCCTAGTCCCCAATCCCATGCACCCGAAATGCTGTACCAGGACGCAGCCTATAACCAAGCGGGACACCAACAAGGCCGGCAACATAATGGCACGCTATATGCGAGCGAATCCATGCCAGCTTTCAGCGAAGATAGCATTCAACGACAGCTAGGGGGGTACATGGTACTACCAACAACATTTGCACCCGCCCAGGCGAACATGTGGCAGCCGGGGTGTTGGTACCCGTATACGCATCCTGCTACGGGAGAGGACGTCGCGGAGTGGTATGATGCGCGGTATATGAGGGTTGAGGAAGACTACTCGTACGGCCGCAAGCATAAAGATGGGTGTGAACGGTTCTACCACCAGGGGGACTGCTATGTTCGCCTGGACACCAATTGGTCTCCTGTGCATACTTCTACGCCACCGCTGTACCAGTATGTGGAGGGGTATCATGATCCCATCTTGAAGGATCTAGCGCCGGACTGGTGGAGGCTGTTTGGACATGATGTACCGAAACAGTTCATCCTTTCACCAACATCAGCGGAGGTTCCAGACGCGAGCTCTGAGCCGAGGAAAGCGGAGGAGAAAGAGAAAGATGGGGAGTGGGATGCGGCGGCGTATTTTGGGCCGTATCGTGCGTCTGACGCTGAGCCATGTCGTGCGTCTGAGAGAGCGTGTGGTGAAGAGGAGGCAAAAGGAGAAGACGAGAGAGAAGATAGGGAGTATCGTGCGGATGGGAGCACGACAAAGAAGCCTACTGAAGGCTCGAAGCGAGAATGCAGGGGAAGAGATGACTGGGAGTGTGACTTCTGCGGCCCGGAGTGCTTTTGCTGGACTGTCAAGGGAGAGAAGAGACCTGCCGATGACATTCAGTCGCCTATGATGAGGCTGTATAAAGAAACATGCCTTAGTGTGGGAAAAACGACAGGCGGGAGCTAGTTTACTGCTTTTTCGACGAGATCACGACATCTTCGGTAGCTTGCCGACATGAGATGAAATCGACATCGTTACGAATTTCCCTTTCTCTCAATGAGCCATCGCAGGTGGCGGCTTGACGCGATAGAGGCGTCGGGGTGCATGTGATGGTGTGGTGTCGCTTGGGCGAAGCCACTCGTACGACTGTGAGGCGGATATCTCGCGTGCGGTCTTGTGCGGGATGGCTGATTCCACGCGGTGGTGGCCACGAGCGTGAATAGTTCTAGAATCTCCAGTGTAATCTATATTTTAATGGATTGATCGCGATTTGGAAAATGCATGTCGTTTGGTGGTGTGGCAGGCGTGGGGCATGGCATGGTGCGGACGTTTTGAGGCAGCGATAAAGGTGACCATGAAAGCCACGCGAGGCGGCGAATGGGGATGATTCATTTGCAGCAGAACGTGCCGTGCTACTCAAGGATGCGATCAAGCTTTGGTGTGTCAGAATGGAGCGATGTGATATCGAGCAGGTGCCCTCAGGGCTGAAGTGGGGCCATCTCTGCGCCAGCGCCACCCGCTAGTCGCGCCTTCCCGAGGTCGACTTCACGCCTCCTCATATCGAGTGATGGGAACGCCATCAATAGTGAAGCTTCATCACACATCAAATGCCAATACACATCCCACTGTCCCAGTGCCTTCTTCAGACCGAGCCACCCTGACGCACGTTTCTGCAGATGGCTGTACCCGCCGTTGCTGCACCCCGGATCGCGAAGGCTGCCACGTGTGTTTGAACCATCTGCCGGCATATCGAAACATCAGCGGACTGGCTCCCAAAAGGAAAGCAAGCTGCCCAGCAGTCATGTCACATAGCTGAGAGTTTCTGACCACAGACTGCGAACTATAGGCTAATCGACAGAACTTTAAATGTGTTTTGTCCGCTTCCGTCAGAATCTCTGCATTCATCAAAGCCACGGGTACGAGTTTCCCATACAGGCCCTCAAATATTGTATTGGAACGCTCCCTTGGAAATCATGGTCGATCAACTCCATCGCGACATACTCGAAAAACGTTCATGGCGAGTAGACATCCAATCTGCACATGAAGACCAAGCGCATGAGGGCCGCGCTTCCTTGCAAGACAATACCGATGCGCAGAACATGGTACCACATATCGTACGATCTGCGCAAAGGGTCTGAAACCTTACTGGACTATTAATCTTCAGCGTGTCAAGACCTTGACTTGGATCACTGCAGGACTCTCTAGCGATGTCTGATAAGGCTTTCACTTCAGTTGGTCATGGCCAATCATCCAATTCACATCTGAGTGGCATTCGGCAAAGACTCCGAAAGGTGATGCTCAACTAGGGTGACGACTTGGTTCATAGCAAATCTGCACGGCACACTCTTGGTATGTGCCGGGAATGCCAATGCTCTACGCCTCGAACGCTACAAAATCCACGTGATGGTGTAGCATCCACATGGAGCTAGTACCGAGCTCTGGAAACGGTCGTAAGCCATCGATCAGCGGCACTTTTGCCGCATTCTGTCGAAGCATAACGCCATATGCTCGGTTCGTTACCGATGCTGCTGCTGAATTCGAACATACTCACGTCTAGATTTAGACTGATCTGGACAATCGTCGCGATGTTCGGTATTGTGATTATGGGGTATCGGCTATGCAACGACTTCGATAATACGCCAAATCGAGGCCTCGCTACATAGCACGATACTTGCATGCCGGAACTCTATAAGTTTCAAGGTACGTCCAGTGATCAAGACCGTGGTTTATCGGCCTTGTGGGATTCTAGTCTAGTATCGAAACTATCCTAGCACTCCCATACCATTTTACAGATCACAGTACAACCCCTTCCACACCGAATTGTCGACGACTTCATCACGCATTTGATTTTGGTTAAGCAGTACTTCATCTGAGGGCCTTTCCACACATGCCCGACACTACCATCGTACTAGCAATAGCACTCGAACGAAATTACAGATACCGGCAAATCGCACACGGGTAGCTGGATGCCGAGAATGGCTCAAATACCACGCCATATGAACAGCAATGGAACAAGACTATCCACGACGGCTGCTTTCCCAGAACGCAATCGATTACTGAGTCTACCAGCGGAATTGCGGGAGCAGATATACTGTAACATCCTCTCATCACCCGAACAAGGCCCAGAAATACTTCAGACTTGTCGTCAGATCGAGCGAGAAGCACGCAAGTTCCTTTACCAGAGACCTATCAGCTTCTCGAACCAACTCTCGCTATACACTTGGGTAGACGCAACGCCCGACGATCTCCTCTCGCATGTCACCGATATATCAGTTGCGATTCGAGATATAGACCTTCGACCTATACTATGCCCACACGCATTCACACCATCATCGTCATTACGGCCTCAGCTGCTCAGTCGGAGATTGTACGAAGCGGAAATTAGCAAGCTCATGTCGACGCTGAGAAGGCTGCCGCACATCAAATTGATTACTATCAAATCACCTGCGATATGCCAGTCCTACCTCTACGGCGAGTTCGTGTCCAGGGTTTTGGGTGGAGTTGATTCTATATCGTCGAATGTTCGGGTTGTACATGACGCCTGCCTGTAATCATGACTGCTGGTGGAGCAGCAGAGCAGGTCCAAATTCCATCAATTCTTCTATTTTCTGATGGCTGCCGGACGCGTTATCCTCCTAGCACTCATTACACAATATCTGCGCACATCGAGGCATTCAAGCTCCATCACTCGGGCCTGTTTCCAATGTCTCCACACCGTCAACAAGGTCTTGGCAGCTCAGTAAAAATCCCCATCCTCCCATGTTGAATTCAACCATCTCCTGGGCAAATTTCGGGCTGGTTGTAGCAGTTCCGTTGCTCAGCAAGAGGCAATCATAACTTTTCCAGACCGCATCGGTCAAACTAGCAGCAACACATTGGTCTGTGTTGCAGCCTGCAAAGATCAATGTCCTGATACCACGAGCCTTCAACACACTCTCGACATCGGTCCCTCCCCAGAACCCCGACAGTCGATTCTTCCAAAGTCTTAGATCATCAGGGTGGGCCAAACTTTCCAAAGCGCTGTAGAGGTTGGAATTCCATTGATCGCGCATGAGAGCGGCGCCGCCTTCGATCGTAGATCCGTCATCTAGCGTTATGGGCCCGATGTTCGTCCCAAGCCCAGGTGCCTCACGACCGCCCTCGAAGTTTGTGTCCATTGAGAAACCGCGGACTATCGCAGGGGGCATAGTCTCAATGTCTTCATCTGTGAGACCCCAACCGAGCCAAAGGATTGGAATTCCAGCCTTCCTACAAGCCGGTATCGCTTGCTCGGTGAGCCTTTCCACGACTTGTAGTCCCAGGCTGTCCGACGGCCTCCCGAACGCTGGGGACAGAAAGTAGTTTTGCATATCAACGACTACTAGCGCAGTCTTGGTGGGATCAATAATGGCATGCGAGTCCTGTGTGCATAGTGTCATGCGAGGGTAGACCTTGGGGCTGTTGGGCGCGGCGGGATGCGTTATGTCGTAGCCTTCCTTCTCGGAGTATAGCCAGAAGTTCTCCGCGCCTCCAATGACCTTCATCTCTTCGCTCGTTGACAGACGAAGAGGGGTGCCTGCGTGAGTAGAAGACCGCCAGACTCAGGATTGGAACGTGGAGTCATGATACTGTGAAGAAGCACGCGAAAGACGATGTGCGCAAGCTGGTTGCTGCACCAATATAATGGGTCGTTCTCGGTCTCGGTCTCGCGTACTAGCGAAACATGGAAGGCGCGTTTGGCCTGTGGCTTTGTGCAAACACATTTATGATTGAGGTACTAAAGCGGGAATCGATCATTAGTCAATAAAGCTATTGTATCGTTGATTGCGATGTCCAAGCATAGCTTTTACAGGCGTGTGGTAGTGTTCGTTTGAAAAACGAACCTCTATATGGCAGTGATGACTAGTTTAGATTTGTCAGCGGACTGGGCGGCGGGGATCGGCCGTTCTGCTAGCGACATGAGACACCAGACCGAACAGCATGGCAGCATAGCTTGGTCTCATTATTCCATCAGACAACTCACGATGTCGAGTAGTGGCGTCGAGAAACGTGGGTCTGCGTCCACGGTGCGAGTAAGTAGGTTTGCTAGCATTTATCCGGCTTAGATCGCCTGCGGGTCCTTGCATGCGCTCGAGACGCGACTCTGCCAGCCGCCCACAGCTATAGAGCATCGAACATCGCATCTCGAGCGCTCAACACGCGTCTACCAGCAGACTAACGCGTCTTCTAGGCTTGTGATCTGTGTCGCAAACGGAAGCGAAGATGCGTGTGGAACCACGGTCCTCAGGGCTGCTCGCCGTGCACCAATTTGAAGGAAACGTGCATGACCACGTACACGCGCAAGCAAAGGTCGAAACCACAAAGAGGGTATGATCTGGCTGCATTACACAGATGGTCATGTCATTGACGACGATTCAGCAACCGCATATCTGAGTATGAGGATCGGATCAAGAGGCTAGAGTCGCTGCTACACGAGCGGAACGTAGCACAACCACACGTGCGCCAACAACCGGTCATGCAAACGTCAGAACATTCACCACCAATCTCAGCATGGGTGGATTCTTTGCGTCATGAGGTGGAGGCTGGCCCTCATCCCCAACTTCCAGACTTCGACCCTTTTGACATAGAGAGCTTCCTGCCAGACAATGATGGTCTATTTGCAGACGACCTGGGCGCACTGTCTACCGGCGACTCTAGTCATGGCTCTTCGACATTTGATCCGTCGTTGCAGGTTCCGTTAGATGGCATTTATTCCTCCGCCAACTTCCAAGAGGATGCTGCCTTCCTGCAAGCTGCACAATTTGGGACGGGGCCGACCGAGGATGTCGGTCTACCACCACCGCCAATGGTAACCAGTCCAACTAGTGACTGGTATTTGCCGCCCCCAGAGCTCGGAACCACACTACTTGCGGAGTTCTTGACAGACCTGAACACCGCCTATCCGCTATACCAACCACATGTCATCGCCGACCACCTCCGAACTTGCTATGCGGGGCTGCCTGATGACTCGGCAATCGCTTGGACGAGTGCGTACATCGTCTTTGGTATGGCACATCATATGCGTGGCATGAGCGCAGCTGGTGCCAGCCTTAATATGGAAATGGCTCAGTACTACCTTGCTCGCGCCTATTCCACACTCGACACCCTTCTCGCAGCACCGCCTTCGTTGGGACAAGTCCAATGCCTCGTCGGAATTGCACTACTTATCGTCGCCAGCCCGTCCGGTCATAAGAAAACAGCAGGGCAATTCGTCTCCACCGCCCTCCGCGTCATTAGAAGCCTAGCCAACGAAGGCAAGAAAAGCAATCCAACGGCACAGGAGCTCAGTGATGGCGCACAACAGCGTCGTGTTTTCTGGATCTGCTTCACCAACGACATCAGTCTGAGCATCTTGAGCAATACGCAACCAACACACCAGCTTCAAGACGTAGCCAACTGCTCCGACTTTGTAGCAGACGAGCTTGGTGCGCTCACTGCGACTGAGGGTACCTGGCGAGCGCATATCTTCTGGCTCTTCACAAGGATAGCCTTACTCCAGACCGAAGCCATTGATCAGGTGCTCTCTCGCAAGACATGTAATACAACTCCGCTGGACCTCAGCGCTGCTACAGCTATCGTGCTCGCACGCTTGCAGGCCTTTCACGAGCAGCATCACATCTTTCATCTGTCTGCTGTTCAGCTGGAACAGATACTGTATCCAGCAGACATCTGCCATTGTGTTGCACTGGAGGCTTACTACTTCGGAACTGTATATCGACTACATGCGTTCATGGCGATAGACATGAGTTCGGAGACCAACCCCTTCGAGCTGGACGGCTTGATCAGGATGTCGAAGATGAAGCAACACAAAACATATCTGGAGGCACGAAGGCTGTTGAGCCTGCTACCAATAGCACCTCGGGGTAATGTTGCTTTGTACTGGTAAGTAGCACTGCACTAGCGTTGACGTCAACGTTGGGCTCGGCTACAACAGCTACTAACCTCTTTGCAGGATGGTATATCCATATCTCGTCGCAGCACTCGTCACCATTCTCGCACACCATATCCAGAATCCAGCTGAGAAGGGTCCACCGGCTGCCGAAATGCACATCTATAAGCAGCTGCTCGCTGATCTCGATACTATGGTTCTTGCAGGGGACAATGCGGACTTGGAAGGAAAGAGAAATCTTTGCAAGTGTTTGTTGTCGACTTTCGAGGCGCGGCACAGTGCTTACGCGATAGGCGGAGTTCCAGGGTGCATCGCGGTCACAAGCTAAGAACTGCAAGAACTTGACGACTATACCCTGGTGCACACAATGTCACCGTGTCGGTCAATCGCAGTGCCGCGAAAGAGCTCAAAAAGCTCATGGAAGCTACTACTAGCTAATAATTAGCTGCGGTCTTGACAATGTTTTCGTCTTTGCAAATACGAAACGTAGCGCCAATGATCCTGGGCCTAATGGGAGTGACGCAGCCTGATCACGTTCCGACCTGTGCATAGTACCAATCAATAACGAAAGCAGTGAAAAGATCTCATTCCATCACTAAGATTCACTCATAGGTTCTTCTTTGGCGATACCTCATCTTGAGCTCCAGCACTCTGGAACGTCATGCCACGATATGTCAAGTCACAACTGGACTCGATTCGCATAGAAGAGCAGTATAAGATGGATTCATGATAGATCGACTCATTGTGATACTCAGTAATTAGGAGAATTAAACAATAAGAGATCCAGATGCCAGAGATGGATGACTGTTTGATGAAGTGCATGCCATCAAGCGCTCACTATTTGGGCTCTGGCCGTGGGTGAAACCCTCTTCCATTCCTGCTCCGCGAGCTTTTCAACCTTGACGCTTAACCGTTGTACTTCAGTGGTACTGGCATCGATCTCAGCGTTCTCTGTTCTCGACTTCATCACCTGCTCTGCCCTTTTAGAGGCTACCTTGAGCTCGTCGTATATTACAACGAGACTTGAGTCAAGCTCTACTTATTTGTCAGCTACATACGCTTGCTAAGACTAACTGAGCGCTTCCACTTACCTTCCCAACCTCTAAATTTCATGTCTTCGGAACCGAGTTTCGATAATTTCTCGAAAAGTCCCGATAGTGTCGCTTCTAACCGTACCAAGGCAACGCTGTGATCCTTCAAGCTTTTCTCATATTCCAAGCTATTCTTACGGAAGAGTTTGGGTTTCATCGCAGATCGAAGGATACGGTTGTGGCTTTCGAGAAGACTGTCGATGAGTCGAGCAGGAGTGGATGCGGGATTGGATACCTTGCGACTTGAGGCTCTTGCGGGGACGTGTACTGATATTTCATTGGGAAGCGTGGGCAAGCGATAGTGTGAATGCGCGGGTTTTGATTGAAAGATACCCATATTGCCCGCCGTTGGCAGTAGAACTTGTGAGAATGAGAGAATAATGTCCGACAAGTGAGGGGGCCTGCAGGAGCGGGGGTTGCAGCTGAGATGCATGAGATAGGAAATTGATTGGGCTCGGCGCCCCAAAACCAGGCTGCCGCCGGAAGATGCAGCAGAGTTCAGCTTGCATTCTGTCATGCGCTCATGGCGAACCCAGACGATAACACCGACTTGTTGGAATACGTTGCGCGATCGATTGAAGATGATGAGGAATTCCACTTTTTACGATTTGAAAGGCTCCAGCGGACCAACATTGTGGCACAGCAGGTGGAGCTATTTGGACTCAAACGGCAGTTTGAGAACGCGCACAATGTCTCAGCCACTGACCTCAAACATCTCAAAGATATTTTAAAAGACTATGGTATGAGCCTGCAGGAACACTAATGAGCGATAGGCCATACATAGCTGACAAGATAACAGTCACTGCAATTCGAGACTACCAGTTCTTCCGAAGCCGAAAGAGTCTGCTAACGGAAGACGAGGAAAAGAGGAGGCTTCTGCTACAAGCAAAGTTCCAGACTCGGTTTGGGACTGGCGACGTATTCGAGTCTCACTACGCTTATTTTGACGAAGGGGCACTCAAAATCGACCCTTTCCGCAGTTTCCTGATGAGAAGACTACCTGTCTACGTCACGTACTCAGAAGAGGAGCGGTCGGCTCGTTCAATGGAGTATGGCGAGGGCAAGGAACCCAAAGATGTCTCATCGTTCGTTGACTACCTCGCCCGCTTCGTGGTAGCAATCACGGGTGGACTGTTTCTCATCGTCCCGATGCTGGTCATGGCTATTGACACATCGCAAAAGAAAAGCCTCATTACGGTGTCAGTATCGGTCTTGTTGTTTGCGCTTGCACTATCGTTCGGAGTCAGGACTTCTAACGTCGAAGCGCTTGTTTCAACAGCGACGTATGCAGCTGTACTGGTGGTGTTTGTGGGAACCAATTCTGGCGACGGAGGCACCGTAGCAGCTGCAAGTAACTCCACCATGGCATCGCAGTGACTGGAAGTTGGCGGGCGGGCCATGTACATTGCGGTTGTTGGCCGCGGAAGAGAAGCGCAATAACGACTCCCAAGTTTTCTAGACGCAATTCGAATAACGATTTGCCAGCGGATCTTTCATGTGCCTGGGATGAGTTCTGCCCGGTACTGCTCGTTGAACATCGACGTCGTCAATTCTTTAGCTCGTGCATCTACTAATCTGCTTGCACATACACCCGAAAAACGACCGACTCAGACAAAGGCTCGCAAATATCGACGTCCCTGTCGCCATCTCCAGCGAAACGAACTGCCCCGCGATCTGGATCCGTCTCGACGGGACGCTCCAACGCCTCGCTTATAGCGCCTCGCTGGCGATTGCGCAGCTTAGCCAATGAAATCAGCACGACTTTGATAAGTGACCATGTAAAGGCGATGGGGCTTCTTTATACACAGCTGAACGATGCACTACGGCATATGCATGTCTACACAGACACAGCGGAACTACTCTCCTCTTACTCTGGGGAGCAGATAGGACTCAGCTGCATAATGGGGTGTAAACCCTGTGTGAGCACGTGTGGTGTATCCAGCCCAGACAGTCCTGTTTCGTGTCTGCCCAGCATGCGTGCCATACATCTCAGCACGCTTGTAGTCTTCGCCATAGGCACAAATAGCATATCCCCGCATGCCTCCAGCTCGAACCATGTTAGTTCACAAAGCGCCTGGTTGCCCTCGAAGAGCACGTTGTCTCGCCGTCGCTCGAAGCAGAGGTGATCGCCGGAGGTGCAGTGCAGCGCAACCCTCCGCGTACGCTCGATAAGCTGAAGGTTGTCGGTGCCGGGCGCATCGCTGCTATGGACGCCGGCCATTTGTCTATGCAAGTACTCGCGCAGCAATCTGCCTCGGGCTTGGAAGGTCCTGAGGGATGCCACGCAGCAAACGATGCTTTTCGCTCTGTAGTCGTGTCCAGACCAACACGATTCGCAAGATTCGCGGTGCTGCCTATGTCGCTTCCAGAAGCGGCTGCATCAGAATTGAACCACAGCATCACGACCCTTGGGTTCAAAAGCGCGATGATACCGGACCATCTCGGAGATGGAACGTACTACGACGCCGCACGCTTCGACCTAGTCTTCGCCATGGCGCAGAAGGTCCATGTACCAATGTATCAGCAACCTGCTGCTCCGACCATAGATATCGCATCCAAATTGTTCCTGGGCAACTACCCAGCCGCCGTGGCGGGAAAGCTCGGGGTAACGTCGTGGGGTTGGCATGTCGATGTAGGAATGCACGTATTGCGTCTCGATGACGCGGGATTATTCGATCGCCTCCCCAAGCTAAGCTCATAATTGAGCACAACGGCCAAGGGCTGCTATTGACCGAATCGAATTCGACGGGATTACGCAACGATATGACGTTCGATCGGGAGTGGAAGACGAATATCTGGAGCAGTACGAGTGCATTCTTTACTGTGAGACAGTTCGAGCAGTTGAGGCAGGTGCGCCCAGTTGAGAGGATTATGTATTTTGTCGATTATGCGTTCAGCAGCGATACGGACGGGTGGGCGTTTGTGGAAAAGTTGGCGCGGGCGCAGGTCTTGGGTGACGCCGAGATGGACATGTTTGCGTGGCAGAATGCTGGGAAGTTGCTGAAACTATGAGTAGCTGACATTGATGGAACGATAAGTAAAGGTCATCGAACAATGATGGTATTTGCCTATGGACACGCGTTGGCCGCATGCCCGGAGAGCATCAAGGGGTCGATGATGCCATGCCAAGATTCATGACGCTTGTTCACGATAGGGATAGCGTAGTGACTAGAGCATCCAGCTCGCGGGCGCCTTCGCGCTGGAACGCGTCTCTCCTACAGTCCAGCCTCACATATCCACCATCTACCACCTAAACATCTTCAGGTCCTGCGAGGCCCAATGCTTGTCTGCGAGTCGGTGCATCAGCCTTAAAGTACGGCTTCTCCGCCAACGACGTAACCCTTGTTCCGTGCCTCGGCTCAATCCCGCCATAATCCCAACTCGCGTTGTGGATGGTAATTCTGTTGTCCCACAATGCCGACGTTCCTGGAGTCCAACGAAACCGCACCTGGATATCGACGTTGTTCTCGTACACATCGAAGAGGTAATTGAGAATGACGTCGCTTTCAGCTTTGTCTAGTCCGACAATGCGATCTGTGAAGGCGCGGTTGACCCACAGAGCTTTCCATCCGGTGGCCGGGTGGACACGAACGATCGGATGAACGCGTTCGATGTGCTTAGGGCCAGCACTAGTGTCGTCGCGGTCAAGGTACGGATGCGCACTACGATACACTGCTTCCCTGCCGTCGATGATCTCTCGGAAAGCAGGGGAAAGCTTCTCATATGCAGCGTAGCCTGAGGCCCAGAGGGTGTCACCTCCGATCTTTGGAATGGTATCATTGTGGAGATGGGTTACGCTAAAAAGAGTTAGACATGGACATCCTTCACAATACCACCACTTACCCAGCAGGTTGGCGCTCGTGCACCAGATCAGTGTGCCACCTAGACGCTCCGCCCGTCTTCCGGAAGCTCGCCGGCACTTCCGTCGCCTGAAGAGCCGGCCATAGAACCGTCACCCCTGGTACACCGGGTACGAATGGAACTTGCGGCTTCACTCGATGTCAGCGCGTAGACTATCGTATGAGAGGAAGTACTCACGTGGACTTCAATCTCGCCATAATACTCGCCCAGCTTCTTTTGCTCTTGAGGCGAGAGATCCTGATCACGGAAGAACACTACGCTTCTTTCAGAGATCAGAAGACCAAGCTCGTCCTTCTGTTGGTCTGTAAGATCCTTCAATTGTAGTCCGACGATCTCGGTTCCGATGTGCGAGGTCAGATGGATGACTTCCTTTGCAGCACTAAACAACGCTTGCTTCTCTGGATCGGCTCGGGTACCTGGATCAATGTGCTCACGATCATAGTCCCTGATCTTGTACACATCGTCAAGGTAGAGTGGTTTTGCTGGTCTGTACGGATAGCCGGCCGACAGATCGATCCCTGCCTTCTCGAGTCTCTTCCTGGCTGGCTCTGGCAACCCCAGCGAGTCTTTTCGCGGCTGGACGGTATCCTTCTCCTGGATGTGTTCGTGAACGGGGATTGCGATTGGAGCCATTGTCAAAGTCGTTTGTGATGCAGTTGCGCAGACCTCATCGCTCGAGGTCCGACCAATTTTATATCCGGAACTCTATTACCCCACTTCTCAAAACGTTCGCTCACAAATCCGACTTCAATGCATGGTCGACTGATGTGGCTGCGTCGCGTGCTGGTTGCGACACTTGTTGCGGGGTTGCGATCACATCATAATCTTGCAGATGACGAATACCCAGTCAACGTTTCTCATGTTATCGCTCGGAGAAACTTCGCTTCCTTTCAAGTGTAATCACGTCTTATTCGCAAATAGGTGCGTCGGTTTTGGTTGCTGGCATCCCATGCGAACATGGCCGCTCATGATGCCATTCGTATCCACCATCGCGCTTTGTTTCTAGCTACACCCCGGTTGAGATGCTTGCAGTGCTGACAAGCGCTATAGCCGAGGCATAAGCAAGGAATGCTGACAGTAGGCAGATGGCTTTCATGATTGAGTGTTGGGAGGCTTGTGTGTGCTGCTGTCGGCTGTAGAGTTGGGTCTTATTCTCACGCGCACGCGCGAAGCTGCGAAGAACTTCCTTCAGCATACAAGCAATATTTCCAACATGTCTTTCCGATGCAAAAGTGTTGCTGTAATTGGCGCAGGTATCAGTGGCGTGGTAGCTGCAGCTCATCTCCAGAAAGAGGGTGTCGAGGTCACTGTTTTTGAGAGATCGAGTGCCGCAGGAGGCATCTGGTACACGGTCCAACTTCATGCTTCTCAGACAGGACTGACAGCTTAACAGGCTCTACGATGAGCGAAAGCCCCTGGAACCACCGTATTCGGGAACCAAAGTGTCCAGAGCCGATAGTGTTCATGCGACGGAGGAGACGGAGGATATAGAGAGACTGCTTCATGCGCCACCTGGGTAAGTCCTACAAAAACAATCGTCAAACGCTGCTCTGGACTGACTGGCCACACACAGTCCATGCTATGTGGGCCTGAAGAACAACGTGAGCACGCGCTTGTTGGAGACCACCTTGAATCCGTTCCCGCCTGGGACTGAGGATTACGTGACGCATCAAGTCTTGTGCGACTATATACAAGCTACTGCTGCCTCGACGGGGGTGCATGGGTTAACACAGTACGACACCGACGTGAGACGCGTTACGAAGTACGGCAAATCGTGGACGGTCGAGACTGGGACTCTGCAGACTGATTCGGATGGTACGCTGAAGCGACATGTATCTTCCCATGTCAGTATGATCCTGATGTTGAATGCATACGTGGGTTGCTAATCTTGCGCTAGAACTTTGACGCCGTAGTTGTTGCGTCCGGCCATTACCACACACCAAGGATTCCCGACACGCCTGGACTGGCAGAATGGAAGCGACGATTTCCTGGTAGAGTGCAGCATTCGAAAAGCTACCGAAGGCCCGAGAATGCCGAACACAAGGTCGGTGCGCGCCAGACTGAGCGAAACGACGTCCTTGTGACCTGATACTACTCCAGAACTATCTACTTGTCGGTGCAAGTGTATCCGCAACGGATATTGCTCGTGAGCTGAGCCCGTACGCAAACAAGATTTTACAGAGCCAAAGAAATGGCAAATTTGATCTACCTCCTAGCATGCTTCCAGAGAATGCATTTCGCATCGAAGAGGTTGCGTCGTACGACGAACCACACGTGAACGCATCGGCACCACTGAACCCCGACGAAGCGATCCCAGCCACCATCACATTAAAGTCAGGCGCAAAGATCTGTGATATCCACCATGTCATACTTTGCACTGGCTACTATCTCACCCTGCCTTTCCTACCGCAGCTCACTTCGGACGAGACGCCAGTCGAGCATGCCGACGACGCGGTGTTGGTGACGGATGGTACACAATTCCACAATCTACACAAAGATATCTTCTACATTAACGATCCGACCCTCGCCTTTGTTGGCGTGCCTTTCTTCACGGCCACCTTCACGCTATTCGAGTTTCAAGCCATGGTCGTTGCAAAGGTGTTCTCAGGCCAGGCCAGGCTTCCCAGCAATGATGTTATGCGGTCGGAATACTACGCACGCGTGAAGAGCAAAGGTTATGGCAAGTCGTTTCATAGTCTGCGAGATCAAGAAGCGAGCTATGTCAACGAGCTTATAGACTGGGTCAATGCTGACCTACAAGAAGCCGGCAAAGATAAGTTGCATGGCCATACCGAGAAGTGGCATCGCGCAAGGGCGGAGCAGCTTGAGAGGATGAAGGCTTTCTTTGCTAACCCCATAACTGAGAAGCGGTTTGAAGCGACGTGTACATGATATACTGGCTGAATACACCATGTCTCAATCACAAAGATCAGTCGCGCAGACGAGCCTTCCCGGGTCACATGATCAAATGGAATGTGTTGAGGATCTCTGCGTCTTTCGTTATGGGTATTCCGCGACTCAGGCACGCAATCTGCACGCCTGATCACGACACATGGCGCCACACCACTCCCATGCATCACGACGATCTTGAACCTACAGATACCGGCAACGCATTTCGCATTCGTGCGTATCAGATCTAGACTGTCTACATGTAGCACAAGCCCCACGCGAACCCTGTCATAACGCCATACCAGCCCCAGTATGTCGAATCGCGCTACGGATCCTACCGCGCATTATCGACTCGCCACTGACACGCCGAGCGCCATGCTGAACGGACCATCTCGTAAAGGATGCTTAGCCATGGCAAGAGGGCCTTGTGTTGCTTGCTTGATAAAGCTGAGGCTTGTGCCAGAACCGCTCCAGACACCAGACACATGCTTCATACTGAAGCCTCATGAAGATGGGTCGACCTCAGGATCTCTCGACGGAAGCAGTCACAGCTACGACCGTCATTCAGACCAACGAAGAGCTGAAAGCGAAGCCGCACAAGTGGTACTACTACCTCTGGGATACCTTGGACAAGCCGAAAGAAGAGCGATGGTTCATGTTCAAGCTCGATGCCGCTCTACTTACTTTCGCGTCCTTGGGGTACTTCATCAAGTACCTTGATCAGATGAACATTAACAGCGCTTTTGTCTCTGGAATGTATGTATCTGACCTCCGTTAGCGATGACTGGCTGACATCAGAGTAGGAAGGAAGACCTTGGGCTTTACGGCAACCAACTTAACTACATGCAAACTTGTTGGACTGTGGGCTATGTCATCGGCGAGATACCCAGCAACATCATTTTGACTCGTATTCGACCGTCGATTTGGATACCCGCGATGGAGGTATGATTCTGCAACACCGTTCGGTTGGGAAGTGAGTACTGACACCGATAGCTTACTTGGGCTGTCTTAACATTTTGCCTTTGTCGCGCCAACAACGCCGAAACGATCTACGCTCTACGCTTCCTTATCGGCCTTGCCGAAAGTACATTCTACCCAGGCATGCAATACATCATCGGATCGTGGTATCGAAAGGAAGAGCTCGCCAAGAGATCTTGTATCTTCCATACCAGCGGTGCTATCGCGACCATGTTCTCCGGCTACCTGATGGCCGGCGTATACAAGCTCGACGGCAAAGGCGGCTTCAGAGGCTGGCAATGGCTCTTCATCGTGGACGGGATAATCTCTCTCCCTATCGCGGTCCTTGGCTTCTTCTGTCTGCCCGATCTACCAGAGATCTCGAAGCCCTTCTACCTGACCAAAGAAGAGGTTGCATTTGCGCAGGAGCGCATGCGACTCGAAGGTCGGCAGAAGCGGAAGCCGTATACCAGAGCCAAGATACGGAAGATCTTTACGTCGTGGCATATCTGGGCTCTGGTTCCGCTTTATGTTTTCTTCAACAATGCTAGTATGGGATCGCAGCCGATATTTCAGCAGTTTCTCAAGGCGAGCAAAGACCCGAAATATACCGTCAGCGAGATCAACACCGTGAGTTCCGTTATGCCGTTGTACCAAAAAGTAATGCTGACGTTGTTGACAGTACCCAACAACTACCAACGCCGTACAAGTCGTCACAACACTGCTATACGCCTGGACGAGCGACAGCATTCTCAAAGGCTCCAGATGGCAACCCATCGTCTTCGGCGGCTGCATGAACATCATCTGCTCCACCAGCCTCGCGATCTGGGACATACCCATCAAATGGAAGTGGGCTTGCTACATCCTCTCCGGCTTTGGCGGCGGTCTCTCTGGCTTATGCTTCGCATGGGCTCATGAGATCTGCACGCACGATAACGAGGAGCGGGCCATTGTTGTCGCAGCAATGAATGAGATGGCTTATGTGATACAGGCTTGGCTGCCGCTTCTTGTTTGGAGGCAGGTTGAGGCGCCGCAGTATCGTAAGGGGTTTATTACGGTGGCGTTCTTGAGTGCGGCGCTGATTGCAACTGCGCTTTCGATTCGGTTGTTGTATGCGAGAGAGTTGGTTAAGAGGGGTGACGGTCGGGCTTCTGAAAGTGAGGAACGGATGAGTTCTGATGAGGAAACGACGGGGCTGGGGGGCGATGGGGATGTTGGTCAGATCAAAGTGCCTTGAGAGGATTGTGATCGCTATCACTTCAACGATGGGTCTCATTAGGAAACATCGTAGTCATTCATCGTTATGGTCACTGGCTATTCCGTTACCTAAATGAGACAAAAGGTCTGCTCCTCCGGTACATCCGATGCTAAACCCTGGAAAAGCTCCCCGTTCATGATTTCGTCGACGTATGCCTGACCCATGAAAACGTATTTGTTTCCTCTTGGTCGTAGGACATATGGCGTGTTACCTCCGTAGAGGACCACCACGATGTCACCGGCTCGCATGCATTGTGGGCCGAGACCATACGAACCTTTCTCCGTCCAAAACAGGCGTCGGTGACGACAAACATTATAAGATATGCTTCCAAATAAAACTGAATCGCGATCGTGAACATACTCGCCCTGATCACCAGACTCTTGAAGATTGATCAGTCGGCGCAGCAAACGTGAGCAAGCGTTGCTGTGTCTCGCTTTTTCATCTGGAAGCTGTAGGTACTCATCCAAACCAACCACCCACCTGCCTCCCGTCAATGTTCGAGCGAGTTTTTCTGGGGACGATTTGACATTCATACGCTCGTGACATTTGAGGAATGGATGACTTTTTGGTGGATTCCCGATAGCTTGGACATCCTTGGCACCAGTAATACTTTCGTTGGCATCCTCGGTAGTCTTCGGGCCGCCGATATACTTGGGGTCTGACAGGTTGTGATAGTCCATGACCTCTTCGACCTCAGAAACCTTGCTGTACGTCACGCCTTTGAGACAGAGATCTCCCAGAGCTGACAAGCTGCCGACAGTAATAGTCCCTTTATGCTCTCCACATGCACTCCAAGGACATGAATCTTCAGGTAATCCTATTGGCATACGAGAATGCTCACTATCCCACCGCGGGGCCCACGATCTGTATTCAATGTCCTCATATTCCTCAGGACCAGGTCCATCATAGATGACATCGTGGTCAATGAATCTCCACTCTTCAGGACCAGGCCCATCATAGTTGACGTGGTGATCAATGCAGCCGAACGCAGTCAGTCGTGCGTAAAGTTGAATGTAAACCAACACCGTGTCGGCATATATTTCATCAAGGCCTTTTGTATAGTCGACGCCTAAAGCATCTACCTCTGACCTTGGTGAGACGATATTGAGTAGGCCGTACACTTTGTCGCTTGGGTCAGAAGACTCATGAGTGCAAAAGAGCTGCAGCGCCTCTAGTAGTGGATACATGGTTTCTTGGCTCATCGTGGCCGCATTTGTGCTGTCTAGCCCATAAAATGCTAACTTATCCCCGTTACGATAATCCCTATCACGGATCCATGCGGCACTTATAGCTAGAGCTGACCAAGATAACTCGTCGTCTCCCCAGATGACTATCGCGTCTGCAGCTAAGCGAATTTCTTGGATGCACCATATCCTATAGAACCAAGGTCGATTGTAAAGTTCCTTGAGGCTACTTAGTACGGTCGGAGAGGCCGCGATTTCCGGGAGTTTGACTTCGTCATGGGTTGTGAAGCTATCTGGAATGATGCCGTGTCTCTGATCGTAATCATAACAAGCGTCGGCAATGATTTTACTGGACTCGAAGGCTAGTCGTATCTGTTGCGCATCTCCCTGGCCTAACCAGACAACGACTCTTCTTGCCAACGAATAGATGCTACCCATCATCGGAACTTGGTGACTTTTCTCGCCCTCATCTGCTTGGTCGATACAAATCGCATCCGCCCAAATTAGGCGCGTGACTTCTCGATAACGTAGCCTTTTGAATGCCTGCGAAAGCGAAGGGCCAATCTCTATACACTGATCATTGCACCATATGTTGGCAGATGGTGTTGAATCGCCCCACACGTAAGACAACGCTTCGTACGGAGGAGCCTCGTCAATGTCGAAAGAGTGGCATTCGCATCGCAACGGTTCATCTTCATTGAGGGCAGGGAGAATTGTGAGTAGCCTGAATGTCCGACCACTTAAGATTCTTTCTGCGTGGTTGAGAGTGGCCGACATCTGATGTTCGTGACAAATTTGAACGCGACGGTATGGTTACGAGCATGAACCCTGACGAACACTCTTAGAGCATTTTGAAGCGTGCTACGCTCGCTCGCATATGTCCGATACGTATCGCAATTCGGTACGTGCGCTGCGTGTATGCAAATTACAATAAAGTGGCTGATAGACGCCGGTGATCGAGGACGGCAGACCAGCCGCGCCAGGCTGACAAGTCACGGATCGCAGGAATGGGGGTTGTGTCGATACTCAGGACCGTGAGAAAATCCGGGCAACGCCGATGACGTAGAAGGCCTTCGTGACGAAGTTTGCATGCGGTGTCCTAGGTGGGTAGGTGGGAAGCAGAGGTGCGTCTTGTAGGAGGTTGGGAAGTGGCACTACGATAAGACCTCGGCAATGTGCCGCAAATGGTACTGACATGTGGACACCGACGCTAACGTATGAATTTCATTGTCGCGCTCGTGGGGAGCTGAGCGATGCGCCAAGCAACGCCATCATCCGCAACTTCAACCGTAGCTCGATTATCTGCCGCTGTCACCTACCACTGCCATGACACATTTCGGTCAATCGCCGGACCATACCACCCCTTCCCAGATTAATAATCACATGTCTCGTCATTGCGATCCGCAGACTTGGTGAACGCGACGAATGCCATCTGGAAACCTTACCCAGCCACATTTCCGCCCCCCAATGCCGGCCTCAGGCGATCCATGAGCCAAGTCCGCGGTATACTGACCCGCTTCCTTCATCCCATGTCGCACGTGCGTCGTTCAAACGCCGGTGCCTGGGTACGGGACACGCCCACCTTCCATTATCCATGTCATTACGGGAGCTTGCTATAGGGCATTTTATACGAAGTTTCAGCAAATGTCCAGCCTTATCTATTGCGCCCCTGTGCTAGCTAATGCGGGCTGGTTAGACTAAGCGAAACCACCTGCCCTTTTGCGAACCCTCACCACCACGCTCAAGCACGTTGGGACTTGCCAGATTATTGCATTATTGTAATTGGTCGACAGGTAAAGAGGTGCTGGAGGAGTGCTCTCCTCGCCGACCTTCACCGTGCTGCAAAGGGTCACGATTGTCCTGCTGATACCGATGTTGATGCTCCTTCGGACGTCATGTGTGAATGTGGTAAGTGCGCTTTGGTCTGCCAACGGTTTTGCGGCCACGTGCGCTACCATGGGAACTATGGGAAGATCAGTACGATCACTGCGGCACGTTCCACGAGTGGAGTGTACTTCCACGGCTACTGACGATCGTGACAAAAAGCAATGCGCTCATCATGTTCGGCTTCAAACATCACTGGGACACAAGGCGCAATTGACTTTGCTTACCCAAAGATGGATGTTTCCGTTAGAGGCTTCAACACAGGCCATCCCAAGCAACCGTATGGCGAACTAACAAGTCGAAAGCCACATGGAAAACATGGAAGACCCGGCCTCGGGTGCCTTCAGCCGCACAAACGTGAGTAAGTGTCTGGACCAGTCGCGACCTTCGGGCGATGGTATCGTTTCAAGCAGGTGGCAGGCGAGCGCCACTCACACTATGCGCGGGACGTGCGTAGCTCACTTCAAGTAAGTTTCAACTCCTGCTCCTACAGGTCGCGGGGTAGTTGGTGTGCATGCCGGCTCCTATTACGAGCATGCCGGTTATAATGGCCGCGGGCGCTCCCGAGTGATTCAGGAATGCTTTTCTGGTACCCGCGGAGGACTTATGTTGTTTTTGCGGCTGTCTTGCCTGGCGTTTACTCATCATGACTTCGAGATTTCCTACCGCGGAGGAATTCGCATCGTTTCCACCGCCTAACTATGTCGACCCAGCGAATCACCTTACATTGGCATTGGCGATACTGGTCCCACTGACTGTCCTTGTCATTGGGTTCATATCATGTCGGTTCTACTGTCGGACAGTACTCGTCAATACATTGGGATGGGATGACTGGACGATGCTAATGGCAGCTGTAAGTGACAGAAGGATTCGTCTGGCGAGCTGAGAGTAGAGCGCTGACCTGTATAGGTGATGTCGGTTGGAAGCAACGTCATGCTCATTATATCGATGCTGCCAGATTACCAAATGGGCTATCATCTATGTGAGTAGACCTTGACTTGGGTTACATGCGCCACAGCTGATGTGAAGTAGGGGACGTTCGACCTGAGCGACTTTTCGGGACGATGAAAGCTGCCCAAGTACGTTGCGCGTCACGAGCTGGCACTCTCATGCTCACAACAGTTTAGATGGGCATGTCGACTCAATTGCTTTTCACTGCAATCATTACGTTCATGAAAGTCGCAATTCTTCTTACCTACATACGTAAGTGCGCAGCGTGTGCGAAACTCTAACAGTGTACTCACTAACAGCTTTCCAGGCATATTCCCGTCGAAGCTCGACAAGTGGTTCTGCCGCTTGATGATCTTCTACACGGTGACTCTGAATACGGCCTGCTTCTTCATCACGCTGTTCCAATGCTCGTAAGCAAAAGGGCTCACCCCGGTCATTGCACATTATACTAACGATCAGTGTAGACCCGCCAGCACGTACTGGGAGATCTTCAAGTACATCAACACAGCGAAGTGCCTCAATATCAAGGCGATCTACTACTTCCACTCGGCACAAAACACGTTTAGCGACTTTGTCATCTTCCTATGGCCCGCGAGAAACCTTTTGAACGTCCAAGTATCGCTTCGTCAGCGCGTAACTCTAACGAGCATGTTTTCGCTTGGTGTCATGTAAGACGACATCTCGCGATCTACTTTGGATCAGGCTGACATGCGATTAGTGTATGCATCGCCGGCGTCGTGCGACTTTACTATACACACCTATACCTCGTCTCCTACGACGTCTTTTGTGGGTCACCATCAAATCACAGCTACACGCATTCACCAACTAACAATATACAGGGTACGGAGCTACCACCTTCGTCATCATGTCGGTAGAGAGCGGTGTAGGTGTTATCTGCGGTTGCCTCCCAGGCTGCAAGCCCCTCATGAACAAACTGTTCCCACGCGTCTTCGGCAACACGTCGCAAGCATCGTCCCGCCGCCGGCCATCAAACAACTTCCTCGGAGGCAAATTCGCACCAACGTCATCTTCATCGGCAGGGAAATCTGAGCAAGGGTCATATCGCATGCAAGCTTTCCAGTCGCGTCCCGAAATACGGCGCGGTGCGACCATGGAGAAGCGACCCCAGCCAGACGTTGAGAAACAGCTTCCTCCGCCCCCACAGCCGTCACACCAAGGGCTGCGGCCACCCAGCCGAGCGGCTTTCACCGGAAGGAGGCAAGGAGACGCGTACAGAGAGTTACAGGGCAACGGGAGTGACTCCAGTATAGAGATATTCCTTTTGCAGCGTAATTAAAACATGTGCACCCTTCCTTGGGGACAGAAACAATTGAGATAGACAAAAGAATGTCCGTGCTTTTCGTTGTCGCACCACCCCAGTGACCCCAGAAGTTCATCATGTCGCCGATATCATCGAACCTTCTTTTGCAATATTCATCTGTGTACCACTGCGGACGCTAGAAACACGTTTGACCCCACTTCTGACGCTCCCTGCGTGCACAAGTAAGGTCGCGTCGCGTGTCAAAAGTGTCCGCGGGGAAGGCGGAGCTTGCGGTTACCCCACTTGGCGCGTTTGCTGCCTCGCCTCACCGCGTCTCGTCGTCTCGTCATTTCTCTTCGCTCAGCCTGGCCGCATCTGCCTTGCGAACACCAAACAAGGCATTGCAGGCAAACTCATTTTAACTCACATAAAACATTGCATTGATTGCAGCTTTTGGTGAAGCACATTTGTCCCTCGCTTTTTGCATCGACTGCCGTCGAGCGCTGCTATCTCATCATTTGGTCCGAACGTCTCAATTAGCCATTCAACAATGTCGGCACCACGAGGTGGCGGTGACAGAGGTCGAGGAGGCTACCGTGGCGATCGCGGAGGCGGTCGTGGAGGTGGAAGAGGCGATTTTGGAGGTCGAGGAAGAGGAGATGGTGGATTTCGTGGAGACCGAGGAGGTGGCGGCTATCGAGGCGACAGAGGTGGAGGCGGAGGACGTGGTGGTGGCAGGGGTGGTCCACCTAGTGGCCCAGTAGAAAACCAGGTCTTCTCGTAAGTTGGGTTTCGATGCAGTCGAAGACAATGCTGAACATTTGTATAGCAACGCGGCACCGCAAAACCCCCAGGTTGCCAAGACGGAAGACGCGATGCATCCCGTCGGCAAAAAGACGCTCGACTTGAGCACCTTGAAGCTGTCGGAAGGCAACCCTACCAGACCTGGATACGGCACCCGAGGTATGAAGGTGGAACTTACGGCGAACTATGTCGAGTTGCTGCCACCATCGAACATGGTATTGTACCGGTACGATGTCGATGTCCAACCGGAGGCCGCTGGTAGGAAGCGTCACCGAGTAATGGAGCTCTTGCTTCAATCACCTGAGATGTCGGACCACAAAGGCAATGTCGCGACTGATTTCCGTCAAACCCTTGTCTCTAAGACAAAGTTCAAGCATGACGAAGACATCATTGATATTCAGTACCGCACCGAAGGCGAAGATGAACCGGCTGCCAACGGCACAGTATACAAGATCAAGGTCAAGTATATTCGAACGTACAGCATCGGCGAGCTCGTTGACTGGATGAACTCTACCAACCTCAGTCAGTCTTTTGGCGATAAGCAAGAACTGACCCAGGCGCTAAACATCTTCCTGAACCACTACGTCAAATCCGCCAACAACTTGGCCACGATCGGCTCATCGAAGAGCTTTTCTCTTAACCAGAATGCCACACGGGGTGATCTTGGCTCGGGTCTCGAAGTTATCCGCGGCTTTTTCTCGAGCGTGCGTGTTGCAACATGCCGCATCCTGGTCAATATCAACGTCAGTCACGGAGCCTTCTACAACCAGGGTCCTCTGCCAGGTCTCATGCACAGCTATGGTACACGAAACACTATCGCTTTGGAGAAGTTTCTCAAGCTGGTCCGCGTCCAAACAACGCATTTGGCTGAGAAACGGAACAAAGCCAAGCAGGTCATTCCTCGCATCAAGACTATCTTCGGCCTTGCTAGGAAAGACGACGGGCATAAGCTGGCGAACAGGCCACGCATCAAGGCCCACGGTGCAGGCGCCAAGGATGTTGAGTTCTGGCTCGACGCTGATGCTGGCTCCTCTGGTGCGCCCAAGGCTGAGGCAGGCGCTGCGAAAGGCAAGGGCAAAGGAAAGCCTCAGCCGAAGGGCCCAGCGCCTGCTGGGTCAGGAAAGTACATTACTGTATTTGACTTCTTCAAGACAAGTATGTTGCTCTCTTCCTCCACGGCGTCATGGTACTAACGGCATGTAGCATACAATCGTGTCCTCCAGCATCCCGACCTTTCTGTTGTCAACTGCGGCAATCGGGAAAATCCCATGTACCTCCCAGCAGAGGTCTGCATGGTCGTTCCGGGTCAGCCATCCAAGGCCAAGCTCGACGGTGGCCAAACACAGACCATGATTCGATACGCTGTGCGCAAGCCGTGGGAAAACGCGAGATCCATTCTCAATGAGGGTGTATCGACCGTCGGCTTAGACGAGAGCACGAATCTTCTGATGGTAAGTCTTCAGCCGATCTCTTGTCGAGCCTCCGCTAACCCGCACAGCGGTCTTTCGGTCTGACGATTACCCCCGGTCTTCTCAAGGTCCCCGGACGCGTTCTCAACGGCCCAAAAGTTATATACAAGGGCAACAAGACGGCAGATCCGCGTTTCGGCGCTTGGAACATGATCAACATCAAGTTCAACATTGGTGCCAGCCTTGCCAAGTGGTCGGCGGTTATGATCACGCTGCCCTACAAATCAGGCTCATTCGATGGCCAGGGTTTCGCTGCGGTAATGTCAGAGTTTCATCAAGGCTTGATTAAGATTGGTGTCAACGCCAGCCCGCCCCTTCCTCCGCAGCGCCTGCAGCTGCACGGTCCTGACGACCCTAGTCTCGGCCCATATCTGCAAAAGGCAGCCAGTAGTCTGGATCTCTTGTTCATCGTCTTACCGGAGGCCAATATACCTCTGTATAAGCGCATCAAGACGCTGGCCGACAAAGATTATGGTCTTCACACGATCTGTTCAGTGGGCTCCAAGCTCGCAAAGGAACGTGGCCGCGATCAATACATTGCCAATGTCGCGCTCAAGTTCAACCTGAAGCTTGGCGGCACCAATCAGGTCGTTGAGAACAAGAACTTGGGTATCATCGATCAGAACAAGACGATGGTAGTTGGCATCGACGTCACCCATCCTTCGCCTGGTTCGGCTTCGAATGCGCCCTCGGTCTCTGCCATGGTTGCTTCTATCGACAAAACCCTCGGTCAATGGCCCGCTACTCTGCGCATTCAGCGCGGAAGACAAGAGAACGTCGATGATCTCGCTGAGATGCTTATGTCGCGTCTCACTCTGTGGAAGACCAAGGGTAAGCACACCACATTTCCGGAGAACATTTTGATCTACCGCGACGGTGTCTCGGAGGGACAATACGACATGGTTCTTTCCCAGGAGCTGCCTCAACTCCGAAAGGCATGCGAGGCACTTTACCCAGCGCCGGACACCAAGAAGGGTCTCCCCCGCTTTACGGTCGTTATCTGCGGTAAGCGACACAAGACTCGCTTCTACCCCACGAACCTCCAAGATTGCGATCGCTCCGGCAACACCAAGCCCGGTACCGTCGTTGACCGTGGCGTCACGGAGGCCCGCAACTGGGACTTCTTCCTACAGGCCCACGCCGCACTCCAGGGCACAGCGCGCCCTTGCCATTACTACATCGTTCACGACGAGATCTTCCGCCAGATCTACGCCAAGCAGATCCCGCCGCCATTTACGAATATCGCAGATATCGTGGAAGATCTTACGCACAACATGTGTTACCTATTCGGACGTGCGACGAAGGCAGTCAGTCTGTGTCCGCCAGCTTACTACGCTGATCTGGCATGTGAGCGCGCGCGTTGCTACTTGGCCAATCTGTTCGACACACCGACACAGAGTGCGGCAACTTCTGTCGCTGGGGCTTCGGCGGTTGGGGGTGCGTCGCTGGACCCCAGTGCTTCTGATGTGATGATTCATCCTAAGATCAAGGATTCGATGTTCTACATCTAGGCCACGGCCACTTCCTAGCTTTGTTGCATACGATTCTATCTACGGCCCATGATGTGTAGCGACGTTAGCTTGCATGCAATCACTACTGGTAGGAAGGAAGAGATGACGAACGAAGAGGATAAAAATCGGAGACGGGGAAGGGCATCAAGGAAGCGGCGACTGGCACGTCATTGCTACCACATTCATCGATATGGCGACATATCGATGATCCAAGATCATACTGTTCATTGTTACCCCCATCAGATACAAAGCTGCATAACAGCCAAACACACTCATTTGAAGCATCATTTCATGATCTCGGCGCATACCCCGTACTTCTGACCAGCGCATCAACTCATAGCCGCTACTTCGTGATTCACCTGATTCCCTGGCGTCATGCCATCTATACCACTTCCACAAAGAGATAAAGGACTGCGGGGCAGCGTGTTACATGGGGCAATGGCACTGTGCATCTCAACAATCTCGTCTTTGGACGAAAAGATGGATATTGCGGGTAACATGGCTTTCAAATGCTCTGCAATCTGCACGCCCGCGAGGGAAAAGACGTGTGCGAGCTGCCAATGTTGATGCCACCGAGTGCGATGGGGGAGAATCGACGGTGGCGGCCTGCGACGAGACCGAATACCAGACAGGAGCTGTCTTCGGCTTCGATAGTAGTGCGCAAGGGTCCATGGCAGTCGTCAGTAGCAATGGATGGAAGAATACCGTCCACTTGACAAGGCGCAGTCAGAATTTACATGATCCTCGCCATGCATGCAGGGTCGAGGTCTGCCAGCGTTCTTTGCTGACACACCTCTATCTCCGCTAGTGCAAGTCTTCCGGCAAACTGCTCCGTATGGCATTATGCCACTGCTGTGGCGTAAATAGCTTCTCGCCTCGTGTCGCACGCCAGTAATTCGTCGTTTCGTACACCTCCGGACATCCACTTAGCAGCCAGCCCCACTTCTCCAGAAATATCGGATCGATCTCCCAACTGCGATAGTCCTCGGGAGGTCCCCAGACGATCAATATCGGATTACGTTCTAGATGATTGTACTCGCAGATATCATGGCATAGCGCATCTTCGTAGTCGATAGGCTCCGTGCGTTGGAAAGCTTGCAGCATGTTGTCTCGCACTTTTGGCCACGGGAAGAGATCCAGCCAAGGATGATGCTCTATTGAGCTTTGTAGTTCGGTGGGTTGGAGACATGCTGGCCATTCTGCCCCTGCGTCGGAACCTAGGAGCGGGCCTTGTTTGTTGAGTGGCGAGATGCCATACCAATCGTAGTACTGCGCAGTGACTCCCAGGATATCGGCGTTTCTTGCGAGACCGCTGGCGACGTTGTATTTGAGTAGGAGCGGTAAGTGGGACAGGGCGGGTGTGCCTTGCATGTAGCTGGCGTAGGCATGTTCGGAAAAGCGGCGCATGAGTTCCTGCACCTTGGGGTGGGCAGCCATGCATGACCTCTGCGCTATGGCGACATCTGGGTTGCTAAGATCGTCTAGGGATAGGTCGGATGTGCTGCAACTGCCTTCACGACCCGACGTGTCGCTCTCGTTGGCCTCTTCTGGTATGATAACACGGCGGGGCTGTCTGGCTTGGGCATTTTTCTTTTGTGCACGGCTCCCTAGTAGCATGTTAGAACATACTTTCTTCCTTTTTGGCGCTCGATCTGCAGGACAACTTACTCCGTGCCCTCTGGTTCAAGCGGTTCTGTAATTTTCGCCTCTCCACTGGATTGGTCACACCCATCCAATCCTCTGTTTCATCACGGAGCTCGGGTCGCTGAGACGACCAGGCTAACTCAATGGGAGCATCTGCATAGTCAAACCCAGATGGCATCGGAGTTGCTGACATGTCGGCAGGGGAAAATCGTGTATGGGAATGTCATCCTCCGAGCGGGTGCCAGCATATATGCAGATCGATGACAGCTCGCGAATCGGACCTATCTATTCAAGCCCCGCTTCGAGAAGCAGCATAGCCCCATCACGTTTGAAGGTGTTAAGGAAGTAGTGAGGCTCTCTCTGGCGCGATGCTGTTTTGAGAGTGTCAGCAGCGTGCATAAAGTCCGCGTTAGCTCCCATTAGCGTCTGGGCTGATGCACAAGTGCCATCAAGACAGCGGCCGGGTCCACTTCCCCGTCGCACTCGCTCTCGCGGTCGGAGCTTGATAGATCGGAGGTCTAAGAAGGTTGCCATGTGTTAGTTGTAGAGATTAGTGGGAATAGACCAGGCGTACCAAGCCGTTGATGAAATTTTGGGTGCACGCATGTGGACTTCGGGATGACTTCATGTATCATTCATTGGGACATGTGAGGCGTCGGCTTACAAAACGCTCTGGCTACTGCCATTGAGAACAGTGGCCTTCTCGTCACTTCCGCTTCCCGAGCGGGATGACAAAGGTATTGCGCACGCTTCGTGGCGAAGTTAACATCATACGTGGTATCGCGCATCGGATCCGCAGGTCTTGTAGCGTTGAATTGTTTCAGCTGAGACTAGTCGCTTTTCATTCATTGTATTTATTGCTTCGTCATCGAGAGATGAGTGATCACCCCCGATCGCCTGCACGTGGCTTTTCGATTGCTTCATAAGCTGTAGCGAGCACCGCATCTTTTGCGAACCGATATGTTCGGGCTTGTCCCCAGGTCTTCCCATTGGGTCTGCTGTGACTGTTTTGCTCAGAGCCGCACAGATCTCGCTTAAATGATGGTAGCTCATTTACCGGCAGCAGGGACGCGGTCCAGAGGGATAGTCTCCATGTCTCGGATAAGTACAGCTGGCCTATCATATTCGAAAACAATCTCCAGCGCAGGCCTGCACTTCGTGAGGAACTCAAGGAACTCGCGACGGAATGCTTCATGGTAGACGCCACGGAACTCGAGGTACCGCAACTTCGGGACGAAAGTCTTATCTGTCAACCAGTCGAGTGTGCTGTTGAGACGAATGCGCTTGGATTTTTGGCCTTGGACGACAGTCAGGGTAACGGATTCGATGTTTGCGCAGTTCTTGAGGATAGTAGGGAATGCGGTACGCGTGAGCTTCGATGTGCCGTGAAGAGCGATGATCTCTAGCTGAGGCAAAGCTTTGGTCAACTTCTCTACGCCCGCGCTGGTGAGCTCAATGGCCTCCTTCCTCTCAGCATCTCCGGCGACGAAGACACGGACTGCGCTTCGGAAAGTAGCATCTGCATTGGCGATGACGTCAACAATGGTGCTGAATATTATCAGCAGGAGTTAACACGAATCTAGACAAAGTTGGACATACTCGTCCACGTTGATTCCAGAAGCGAAAACGATCTTTTGAACGGGCTTCGCAGTGCTATCAAACTTGGTCGATGCATCTACGTGCATAGTCTGCTCATCTGGGATAGCAGCAGGCTGGTACTCGATGGCCTTTCCCTTCCTTGCCTTTGCACGTTTCTCAAAGGCATCCCACGAAGCGTCGCTCGGGGGCTGAGCCATCAGGCGAGCATCCCACTTCTCCTTTGGCTCGTCCCAGGGTCCGTAGGCTTGGGTAGCGGGGATCTCATCGTCCGGGCTGGTGTCCGATCCTGCTTGGCGCTCTTCAATGACCTTGAGCCTTTGGAGCTCTCTCTCCTTCTCCTTCTGCTTCTTCTTCTTGGCGGATCCTGAAAGTGGCGCCATGATGTCGTTTTCAGGTATACGACGTTGGGTGACTTGAAGAAGCCAGGTGTCGCGGCATCAAAAGAAGAGATCATCGGAAGGCGGGGGTTCCCCACTATCATCTTACGCCTTGCCGCTCCAAGCCTAGTGGCTTTGCAACCCCTTCGTAGCTTCACTCTCATGTGTCTTTGGGTCTCATCTGTAACACGACAAACGGCTATCGCGCTGGCATCGGAATCCCGATTCTTATCTGCGATAAGAACTTCACTCCTCAGATATTTCCATCTCTGTCGCAATATCGGTAGACCTGGAGCGCGCATAATCGGAATAAAGTCCCCGGACACAACATCGAATGAAAGTGAGCCCGGAGTAGAGTCACCCGAGAGTTCATGTAGAAGAACGCTTCATCTGGAAAAGGGAGCATAGGATGCCAGTAACACCGCGTGTGAGCTTCCCCATACTACCTAGCGCTGAGCATTCTGGTTGCCTGGACAGTCAGCCTAGGTGACTCATCCGAGTCCAGGCCGGTGTTAGCATTCCGTCGACGCGTCGAAGATATGCTTATAATAAGGCTCGGAAGCGTATAAGCTTAAGCACAGCACCAAGTATCAATCTACCATTGCTTAGCCTCGAGATGTCACCATACGACTTCCACATCTCAACTCCCCGCCTCTACCTCTCCTACCTCGATCCGTCCTCTGACAAACACTGCGATTTCACTCTTGCACTTTACCATGGCGCTCCGTCTGTCCGTCGGTACCCTAGCGTAATTAAAGACGTACCAGATCGCGAAGCAGCGCGGAAGATCGCCGCTTCTGGAGATGAGAAGCTTCGTGCGACGGGCTATGGGCGGTACATCATCAGCTTGAAACCAGAGTCACACGAAGCAGACGATGAGACCGGAGTTCCATTCTCACAGAGAAAATTAGAACACATTGGGATCGTGAGCATGCAACTGGGACGTGTTGCAGGCGAGCAAGCACCCACCATGCCGGACGTCGGCTTCAACATGTTGGAGCGGTATCATGGGAGGGGATACGCGACGGAAGCTACACAGGGGTTGATCAAGTACTTTCGCGAGGAGAAAGGTGCGAAAGAGATTGCGGGTTTGACCGACGACACAAACGAAGAGGCGAAGAGGCTCTTCCTCAGACTGGGGTTCACGAATCATGGAGTCAGGACAGTACGTGGTATTCGGTGGTCGGGTGAAGTTCTTGACGTGGATCTCTGGACCTTGGGACTTGAGGATGGGAAGAAACTGGAGGACTTTGGATTCTGATCCGATGTCGCTGCTATTCCCGTTCTCCACTTCACATTGGGATCCTTTCACTACTGGGGTGTCGTTAGATGGAACCTTGTTCCATGCCTGAAAGTAATGATTACAGAATCGAAGTCATTTTGTGCAACCCCTTCTATGCTACCGGACATAATATCATGTAGGTACTCTAATTGCCGTAGCCTTGAGCTTAGCTCGAAGGCCGAGGAGACACATTCGCCTCGGGCATATCTTTACACTCCCCATTCTTCCCATCTTGCGACACGCTTCCTGCCTCCGTGTCAACTTCAATCCCATCCAGATACTCAAATCCACTGACAACACGTGGAATCAGAGTTTGCCGAGCAGGAAAGAACAGATTACAGAAGTAGTACAAGAAGATGGACAGGAAGAACCCGTACAGCCAGTTGAACGTGAAGAGGTTTTGGAGACCAGCCGAAAGCTTCAAATCTGGGTTGACCTTGTTGGCTAGACCTGGCAGCAGAGGAATGATGGTAACGAACGTTGCGACAACAGCACGCCAGTTTGTACCGTAGCGACCATATCGGTAGATACCTCTTGGGTCGTATAAAGCGGGAACGTCGTACTTCCTGTGCTTTACCAGCCAGTAGTCTGTGAAGAGAATGCCGGCCATGGGCGCCATGAAGATGGCATATGCGCTCATGAAGTTGAGGAACGCCTTGCCGGAAGCTACGATAATCCAAGGACATAGCGCCCAGCCGCCGATGAATGCGACAAGAATCGACCCGCGACGCACATTGACGTACTTTGGCGCTAGTGTCGTGACGTCATTGGCGAAAGAGACGGCGTTCGCACTGATGTTGACGCTGAGCTGCCCAAGCAACCAGATGGAAGCGCAGAAGAAGGCGGCTGCACGGCCACCAGGCGTATCCCAAGTATCTATGATCTGTAGTGGCGTCCAATAGGCTGTGCCCCAGATCTCTTGGGCTGCGGATGCAGAGACGATCCCCATAAGAGCGACCATAGTCTTGAAGAAAGGGATTACCGGCATCTGCCAGTATTGCGCTGTAGGGTCTTTGCTGAAGCGGGAGAAGTCGGGAATGTTGACAGCGAGGGTGCTGTATCCACCAGTAATGCTTGTCATGCTCGATAACCAGAGCCAGGCCCTTTCAGCGCCATGCACCGAGGCCGGGCGTGTAAAGAAAGTGCCATTACCGCCTGCTTTCACTGCAACCCAGACTGTCATTCCGATAGCTACCGGTGGCAACAAGACTGTCTTCACCCAAAACATGTACTGTAGCCTGTGCGTTGGAATGAGTAGGAAGGGAAACTGAATGAGCCAGTACAAGAAGTATGAGATCATCCCAGCCGTGGTGAGACCAACTGAAGCAGGCAAGTGGTTGGGTATATCGCGGAAGCTTGGCCAGATAGCGTTAAGAATCTAGGAAGATATGTCAGAAGACGCAATCATCAGGCCATGCTCAGTATAACGTACCGCAGTCACACATGTACCTCCATTGGCTGTTTGAACTCCGAACCAAAACATGGCCAAGACGCCTCTGCTCACGATGGCAAAGTAGCTGAACCAGTAACCAAAGCTGGCGCGAGAGGCAATGGGGAATGGAATGTGTAAATTCGAGCCGATGGCGCCGTTCAATACTGTGGGTATAGCGTTGCATATACCCGCCACGAGCGTTATGAGCACAGCATCGGTTGCCGTCAGACCTACTCCAATCAATATCATGACCCCCAAATAACTGTGATGATCGAGCACTTACCAAGTGTAAAGATGGCAGATCCTGAACTCCAAGTCGATATGGTAACAAGGTCACTGAACCAGTACGTTACGAATGCGCTCTTACCCCAAGTGCGCTTTTCCGGTGGAACTGGCTCCATATCGGCATTGGTCCATACATCGGGCGGTGCGATGCTGCTGTTTTGCTTAGGAAGTTGCCAGCTCGATGGCTGCGTCATGCGAAGCTTCATCTTCTCTTTTGCCGCATGGCTGCGACTGCGTACGTCGCCGGAAATGTGCATTATGGAGAGGCGTGTTTTGGTATCCGCCCATGTGATTAAAAAATATCCTCCTCTGTTCAGTGATGGAAATCTCTAGCGACTTGTTTAGGGCGATGACGGATCGATGTGTGATCGACGAAGTACAGCGGAGTGGCGTCCGGGGCCGATCTGACACAAAAGCTGGACGACATCCTCTCCTTATGAGAGTCAGGGTGTCTACGCTACATTTCGCGGCAACTGTCGAAGATAGACAGCTATGCTTACGTCGCACCGCGCTGAGGAAAGATGGGGTAGTCTGGGCTGATCTTATCATTCAAGTTGACGTGATTGGACCATGTCGCGTCGCTATCAAAGATAAGTATACTTTCCTTGCCCATATCGCTATCGTGTTGCTGCATTCGATGGCAAGCTACTATGCTGTGATGAGACGCGTTGGGATGATATGCACCTGGGCAAGCCCACGCCACCCGGATAGGAGAATGGGAGCGGAAGCTCGGCCGCGCGCTAGTGCCGGCGCTTATCAGTTCGCTCCAGGGCTATCTCCAGGCGACCATCTCGCAACCTCCGTGTTTATCACTGGAGACCTCATCCTTCTTGACTATGGCGCCGAATTGTCCGCCTGATCTCGCCTCGGCATGGCGTCTCATTCGCGAAGCAGGTTGACGTGCACAGCTTGTGCGAAACGGAAAGTCAAGTGCAGTAAGACGGTACCCTGCGACAACTGCATCAGACGGGGTCAAAAGGATACGTGCGGTATCGACGCATTGCGTAGCGATGCAAGCTCTCCAACAGGCCCTTCCGACCAAAGATCATGTGAGCTCGACTATTTGCGACAACGGGTCGCACAGCTAGAAAGCGAGACCTGTCAGCGAAGCCCCACGAACGTTAGAACTCCGCCCGGAACTCTGCAGCCGGAAACACCAAACGATAGGCTTCCCGATGAGTCCGCAGATGAGCCCGACGATGCTACTGTTTCTCGAGATACGGCGACGGTACTGGAATTCCTCGCTTGGGGCAGAAGGAAAGAGCCTCACTGTCACACAGTCGCGTCGCTCGAGCCCGCGGATGATGTTCCGATTGAAGTTGGTTCAGGTATATTCGATGACTTATCGCAACTTTCGGTGCTTCAACTGCTTCTTCCAAGTCCTCACCAAGTTCGACAATTGGTAGAGTACCACCACGAAAGCCTGTTGTGGTACCACGGCAGCTACTTCGTTCCTACTTTCCAGGCGCAACTCCAAGATTTCTACGATAGAGATAATGGGCTTATCGAACGACCATCTACGGATCTCCAATGGGTAGCTCTATTATTCGCTATACTGGCTGCTAGTCTTGCGTGCGCACCCGATTTGCGAGCGCAATCGTGGGGATTTGACAAGGCCGAGCGACAGAAGCTCTCGCGACGATGGTATCAAGCTATTTTCACTTGCCTTAATCGGGCGGACTATACGAGCAACTTGAGCATCCTTTCTTGCCAAGCTATAGCCACGGCAACCGTTTCAGCACACCTCCTAGGGTTCAGTACAAAGCAAAGCATCCATCTCGCAACTGCTGTACGCATTGCTCAATCTTTGGGCATCCATCGCCTAGGGCCAGACGCGAGTGGAGGTGTCGTAGCAAATGAGACTGGTCGTAGAGTTTGGTGTCAACTGTGCAGCCAGGACTGGTTCAGCATACCGTTCTCGGAGAGCTACCTGGTTATTCCAAGATACTCGACATCAACTCCACCCCTGAACAGCCACGACAATAATTTGGCCGCCGTTGACGTGGACGTTCCTACTACTACAAGCTATTCTTTGTTCTTGCGCAACATCGCGTTAATCATGCCCCAGCTTCAAGACGGCCTCGTATCATGCAATACACCTTACACACGTTACGAAACGGTCTTGCATTGGGATGCACGACTTCGAGAACTAGCCACCCGTGGAAGGCCACTTTTTATGGCAAACACACCGTTGGATCCGAGCTGGCCCACGTGGGTACCGTGGGCGCGGCGCGCTCTAGCTATTACATCGAGTCACAAGATCATCATGATTCATCGTTCTTTTCTACTGGACAGTTTTGTCAATCCTGCTTTTGCGTTGACCCGCAGAACATGTCTCGCAGCCTCCAAAACGATCGTCAAGGAGTACAAGGCCTTGATTGGGGAAGATGGCCCCACCTTGTGGATTCACCAAGCATTTGCCGTCGCTGCATCCATCACCCTGTTACTAGACGTACTACATCGCGAGCTCAACGAGAATGAGAGTTCTGAGCATCGTGCACTTGTTGAAGACGTCGTAGAGATCCTGCAGCGGCGCCTGGAGAGTATGATTGCGGTCAGAGGCGTCAGACTTCTGCAAGCTTTGCTTACCCAGGCGTCACACGAGGCTTTGTCTCAAAGAAAAAGAAAGCGTAATCGTGACGGTACACCCGCTTCCAAATTTGACGTCTCGGCCCTAGTTAGAAACTTCTACCGGACCAACAATGGCAACAGCTACCCTTCGCCACGTCCTACAGCGACATCAGGATCTACTACCGATCAACCTCCTACATATGACTCGGAAGAGAGCAATTCCCTCGCCACCACGTTTGAACAGCCACAATCTACATTTCCGTTCTCGGCCTCGGGCTTCGTAGGTACCAATAGTTTCGATGATCTTCTGTATCTAGCGAATTACGACTTCTCACTTGCGTAATCTCTCGCAGCTATCCCTTCTACCTGCTGGTATCCGGCGCAAGGTCGCTCAATACAGTATGGAAATCACATTACACATCACTCGCGTGGTCGATTTGTGCATTCGCATGAGTCAACATGATTCATTCGATGACGGCTTCCATTAGCTGCTGCAAAGCTTTCTCAACGCCAGAAAGATCCTCCAATATCGGCTGATGACCACTTTTCACAACATGTACCCAGCTTTTTCCTCCAACCAATATACTGAGATCTTGCGACCGCTGCACTGGACTGATCATATCCTTATCTCCTGCCACGAAGACTATAGGACATGTGATGGCTTGGTATTGCGGGTCTTTGTGGCTACTATCTACGATAGCTTCGCATGTTTGCGCATAGGCTTCCGGGTCCGCAGAGCTCACATCGAGCCTTACGGCTTCTCGAGCTACTGGATCTACCTTCCGGTTTTGGCTGCGGATTCACTGTTAGCACGTTCTCGACATTCTTCTGGGCTCATCATGTGCGTACCTATCGTCGTAGAAGTTAGACTTGGCGGCAAGATCCGCTGCATGCTTGACGCCTTCCTTCCTCACCGCGGCCGCAAGATCGAGCATGCGCTGTCGTACAGCGGGGATGTGACCAGCCGCTCGACCGGGACCGAGTAGCATGAGACCTCCTACAGAGTGCGGATGTTTCGCAGCATAGTGCAAAGCGACAATAGCGCCGAGGGAATGTCCAAAGATGACAACCTTGGACGAGGCCGAGCCATTCGAGCTTCCTCGTAAAGATGCGATGAGGTCGGCCAAGTCGACAACGAGCCCTTCGACGGAAAGTGGTTTCCTGACGCCTGCTAGTGGCGAATCTCCGAAGCCCGGAAAGTCAACAAGAACAATGTTGTACGTGGAGGGTAGAGAAGGCACAAGTGGCGAGAATGTCTCGGTAGAGCCTCCAAGTCCATGGAGACATATCAGAAGCGGACCTGAAGGATCACCAGCTTGTAGGTAATGTGCGTTTGTACCTGAAGTCGTCTTGAAGTACGAGGATGTGAGGGTGCGAGCAATCATTGTGGGAACGTGAGATTCGAGGTCTTGATCGTGAGCAACAAAGTCTTTACTCCTGTGACGAACGCAGCGTGTATATTACCGTATGCATGATATCTGCACGCGGTTTAGCCAGCCTCGTGATGCCACGGCTATACCCGAAAGTGACGGAGGTGGATACTCGGCCGAGACCCCGAGGCTGGTTGATAGGAGCCCGAGGTGGTATCAACGCATCCACACCAAGATGCGCAGCTCGGGGTGTCGCCGTAGAAGCATTATCGGACTGGTAGGTCAGGCGTATGGACTCGAGCTAGGCTTGATAGGTCATATAGTAAACAATAATCTCCAGACTATTCCCATGCCCCCCTACATGCAGATTGTGAAGGCCTGCTAACCTCAAGTTCACTCAGCCACTCAACACCATGGTCGTTACAGCAGTCATAACCGAAGAGACCAACTGTCTGCGTCTCAAAGCAGAGAAGCCCATTCTCGATCTCCCACATGCCGATACGACCACCGGACGCGTCGTGCCCATCAAGCACGCAGAAGGTAGCCAAGTAGACTTTGGCGCCGAGATCTACGGCATCGATTTGAACAACTTCACGGATGCAGACTTTGAGTTCGTTTCCGATGCGTTACACAAGTGGAAACTCTTGGTGTTCAAGGAGCAGCCAGGAATGCTGAAGCCGCAGCAGCAATATCTGCTTACTGCAAAGTAAGTCATTAAACGTCTTTGTGCTTGCTCGATCTAAATCCGTATCAGCTTCGACCGCGAAGAAACAACAGGTGGTTTTGCTCACGGCCACGATCCTTTCCTCACCCATCACAACGGTGTCGACTTCTACGGCATTCCCAAGCGTCCAGCAATCCCAGTGCAGCCACAAGTCCATATTCTTGGACGCGGCCCTGTCCCAGAAGGCCACTTCGGCTTTCCGCCAGGCTTCGAAGTCCAGGGTATTGACCACGAAGAGTTCCATCTTCCACCGCACATTCCGGCGGAAGAACGCGAAGCTGGTGCTTCGCGTTTCTACCAATGGCATTTCGATGGCTCTTTGTATGACATTCCTCCACCACGCGTAGGTTGCCTGCTAGCCGTGAGAACCCCGAAGGGCCCAGATGTGACTGTGCGTTGGGAGGATGAGGTTGGAACTCAGATGAAGATGGCGCCGGGAGCTACTGCGATGGTTGCTGGTAGTCGTGCGCTGGCGCTACTTGACGGGGAGACACGGAACATTGTACTGAACAGCAAGATCGAGTACGCACCACATGCGTTCGTCTGGATGTCCAAAGCGCACAGTACCCGTCTCGGCCATTCCCTCGAAACC